CATCAAGTGGAGACAATTCTTCTGGGTGATTTTAATGCAGACCTGCGGCATGGAATTATATTGAAACGCAGAGCGAAATATCTGCAAAGAGTGCTCACTGAACGGAATCTAATCTCTGTCGTACCCCTTGACGATAATGCCTTTTTTACCTTCACAAGTAAATGTAAAACTATAAGAAGTATGATAGATTATGTGTTCATTAATCTCCAACATGTAAGTAACGTTGTTGGTTATACTTTAGATACTGGTGTTCAATACTCAGTATCAGACCATTGTCCGATATTCCTATGTCTGAGTACTGATTCCCAGCCACGCCACCATGGCGGTGAACATCTAAACTGGCGTAAAGCTAATGACGTAGACTTTATGTTATACCGATATGAAACTGAAAACTATTTTAGATGTGCTCAGTTTGACGAAACTCAGTACGCATCTCCTCATGAATACATTGAAAGTTATCACGACTATATCCTACAAGCGTTACATGCTGCAGCTAAACTAAGTATACCATCTTCAAAATTCCAATCTCATTTAAAACCATACTGGAAAAAAGATAATTTAAATACGTTGCATCGTACAATGCGACAACGCCGTAGTGAATGGATCTATAATGGTAAATCTCATGATAAAGAGGATGCAAATTACATTGAGTATAAAAGAGCAAAACGTATCTTTAGGAAGCAGCATCGCCGTTCCAAACAAAAACTGAAAGACGAAAAGTTTCAGGAAATATATGAAGCAGCTGAGGTTGATATAACAGAGTACTTTAGAGTAACCAAGAAATATAAAAGAAAGAAGGAACAAACCCAGACGCTTGTGTATAATGAAGAGTCCTGTAATACACAGGAAGGAATTTGTAATCTGTTTTCCAAATATTTCAAGGATTTATCAATGCCAAATCATGATATCAATTTTGACTCAGATTTTACTGATTATGTGAATATTCGCATGGAACAGATTGAAAATGACTCGTATAATGACCAAGGGAACAGCGACGTTAGTTCCACGTTGATTTGTCCTTTCACATCTGATGAGTTATTGGCAACTATAAAACGTCTAAAAAGTGGAAAATCGCCTGGTCCCGATGGCATAGTTAATGAACATATCAAATACTCTGGTAGATCTATTATCCAACACCTTGTTATATTTTATAATAAAATTGTTTCTCATGAATATGTACCTAAAATGTTTAACGTTGGAAAGATTTTACCTATCCATAAAGGCCATGGTAAACGTAAAGACGACCCCACTAACTACAGAGGTATTACCCTCACTCCAGTATTAAGTAAACTGTTCGAAAGACTTCTGCTGAATAGAATTGAAGAGTGGGCAAACAAATCTAAAGGCTTCCCCCACCGCTTTCAATTTGGATTTAGGAGAGGGGCTGGGGCAGAAACTGCCCTGTTTACATTAATGGAAAGCATAGCTTATTATAACGAAAGACAGTCTCCAGTTTACTGCGCTTTTCTCGACAACGAGAAAGCTTTTGACAGAGTCTGGCTTAATGGTCTTTTCTTCAAACTGTATAACTTTGGTATTAATGGAAAATTATGGCGACTTCTACGCACAATATATACCTCAATGCAGTCATGTGTAAGCATTGGAGGTTTTACCTCAAATGTGTTTCATGTTAAGCAAGGTGTTGGCCAAGGTCGCGTTTTATCGGCATGGTTTTTTACTCTATATATTAACGACTTGTTGTATTCACTTGATGATTTAGGGCGTGGCTTGTGTCTTCCATGGGGTAATACACCCGGCATCCTATTAGCAGACGATACTACGCTGTTGAGCAGCTCCTCTGACGGACTGCAATGTCTACTGAATAATATATACACCTATGCTAATAGATGGCATTTGAAATATAATGCCAGTAAAAGTGCATTTCTACTGTTTGGGAATATTCGCAAATCTGTCTCTCAATGTGTCTACATTGGTTCACAAGTACTTCCTAAAAAGGAAAATGTAACTTATGCTGGATTGCTTCTAAGTACATCAAAGAAAACCTTAGAACGTACCCATCTAATATGTGAAAAACTCAGAATGTTAGTCAATATAAATTATAATCATGGACTATACTTTGGTGGCTTAAATCCTATCCCAGCTGTTCGTATATGGGAAAGGGTAATTTTACCATGTGGATTATTTGCTTGTAGTGTATGGGGTAAACTGTCACCGAAGGAATACGAAATGCTTGAAATTATTCAACGTTATTTTTGTGAAAAGATTCAAGGACTGTCTAGACACACTCCTTCCGTCGTCACCAGAGATTGTCTGGGTTTAATTTCTCTCCAGGCGTACATTGATCAACGAGCTCTCTTATTTCTGGGAAGACTATGTAATAGTGACATTAACTTTGCATTTAAAAGACTATTTCAGCACAGACTTGTTCAGTTTGAACTCGATACAATTAAAGAAAAAGATGATAAATGTAAAATGTCACCCTTGTACCACATGCTTTCACTTGTAAACAAGTATGAACTCAATAATGACATAAACACATATACCATTTATTCTCATTTCCCCTCAAAACATGCATGGGCGAGTCGAGTTAAAGAACAAATAAGCGTAGGTGACCATAACATAATTCATGCAGAGATTCATTCAAGAGAAAACCTAAAACGATACTCTCTTATACGATCACCTAAGGTACACAGACTTTGCTTACTAACAATTGAAAGGCCGGAACACTTCTATGATTTAGCATATTTATTATGCCTTAGCACCTACAGTATACAATCTGATGAATGTTTATGCGGCACATTTGCTTTTGATATTATCAAACATGTGTTTATGTATTGTAAAAAGACTCAACAACAAAGAAATATTCTTGTTGAGTCTATTATTGATTTGCTAGATGTGACAACTTTTTCTAGTATCTGGAACGATGATGACGATACCTTTCTGTCCTTTTTACTTGGCGGTTTGCCAACAGAAAGTACTATGGCAATTGAATACAATCTATGGGCAAATATCATGCTTCGTGTATGTAAAACTGTTAAAATGTGGAAAAACCTACTAAGAAACATTATTTGATAACGATGTGAAACTGTCTGTACATACAATATATCAGCTGTTATATATATATATTTATATCTCATATCAATGTATCTTCATCAACTGGAGGAAATAAAGATGATCTATCTATCTATCTATACTCTAAGAAGATTGTAGTTACTACTATAGTCTATGAAGATTGTAGTTACCAGGACACTCTATGAAGATTGTAGTTACCACTTTACTCCATGAAGATTGTAGTTACCACTATACTCTATGAAGATTGTAGTTACTACTATAGTCTATGAAGATTGTAGTTACCAGGACACTCTATGAAGATTGTAGTTACCACTTTACTCCATGAAGATTGTAGTTACCACTATACTCTATGAAGATTGTAGTTACTAGGATACTCTATGAAGATTGTAGTTACCAGAATACTCTATGAAGATTGTAGTTACCAGGATACTCCATGAAGATTGTAGTTACCAGGATACACTATGAAGATTGTAGTTACTGCTAAACTCTATGAAGATTGAAGTTACCACTATATTCTATGAAGATTGTAGTTACCACTATACTCTGTAAAGATTGTAGTTTCCACTATACTCTGTGAAGATTTTAGTTACCACTATACTCTTTGAAGATTGTAGTTACCACTATACTCTATGAAGCTTGTAGTTATCACGATACTCTATGAAGATTGTAGTTACCACTATACACTATGAAGATTGTAGTTATCACGATACTCTATGAAGATTGTAGTTACCACAATACTCTATGAAGATTGTAGTTACCACAATACGCTATGAAGATTGTAGTTACCACAATACTCTATGAAGATTGTAGTTACCACTATATTCTATGAAGATTGTAGTTACCACTATATTCTATGAAGATTGTAGTTACCACTATACTCTATGAAGATTGTAGTTACCACTATATTCTATGAAGATTGTAGTTACCACTATATTCTATGAAGATTGTAGTAACTAGGATACTCTATGATTATTGTAGTTACCACTATATTCTATGAAGATTTTAGTTACTAGGATACTTTATGAAGATTGTAGTTACTAGGATACTCTATGAAGATTGTAGTTACCACTACACTCTATGAAGATTGTAGTTACCACTATACGCTACGAAGATTGTAGTTACTAGGATACTCTATGAAGATTGTAGTTACCATAATTCTCTATGAAGATTGTAGTTACCGCAATACTCTATGAAGAGTGATGTTACCACTATACTCTGTGAAGAGTAAATATAAAACGTCAAAAAGGAGAAAAACATGCTGTCTTTTTAATATAGTGCTAAGTTACCTGTAGATTTGACCGCGCTAAATTGAATTTGGAACCGAACGCGCAGTATGTTTATCTCCATTCTCCGAAAACTAAATAAAACTTGAACTCTTTGGTACCAGCAAATATATTGAGTGAAGCTATAATTAATGTCACTTTCATTTTTGATGCAAATTGTTATCGACATACATGATGAAGATTGTTCGCACAATACAATAGTTGAAGAGTGCTACCTCTATATTAAATGTAGATCGACGCCGCTCTGCTGATGAAGGTTGTTACAGCTGTTCTCTGAAGATTGCAATGGCAATACCCCGTGAATAGTGTTTCCACTATACCCAATGAAGATTGCAATGGCAATACCACGTGAATAGTGTTTCCACTATACCAAATTGAAGATTGCAATTATGGGAATACCACGTGAATAGTGTTTCCACTATACCCAATGAAGATTGCAATGGCAATACCACTTGAATAGTGTTTCCACTATACCCAATGAAGCTTGTCACTGCTACGCTCAATGAACACTGGCAGACTGTTTTCGAGAGGACGTTTGATGTTGATGGAAAATAAAACAAATCATCCAATTTTTATTATACAGTTCTTGCAATTATACGCATACAGTTCTTGCAATTACAGAATTATTTTAACCATTCGCCTTCAAACATGTGTGTGTGTGTGTGTGTGTGTGGGGGGGGGGGGGGGGGGGGGTGGGGTGGTAGGGGGGCTTCTCAGGGCAACTTCCAGAAATTTCGTGCCACATTGAAACATTCGTCATTTTCTCTTCATGGTTCCTCTGGTCCACTGTTACTGGGTCGGCCTGGCATGTTTTGGATACCTACAATATGTAATAAAGTACGCATTAAAACTCGTTGTTGATGAATTGTATTCAAATAAGACAAAGCCAGTGTCACACGTTTCCTATCTGCTGAGGAACTGGGATCATTCATAGGGTAATAGTCGGTCTCTCAGACCATATTATTTGAAACATATTATTTTCCCTTTCTGTAATGCAGAAGCCCTGAAGGAAGCAACATTTTCCTCCGGCACACAATCGCCCATCTCATTGCAGAAATGCAGTAAAAGGAACATGGCGGGTTTGTTTAATCAGGGAGGGCAGAGCAAGGTTTACCACTTCTGAGAGACCCATGAGCACTGTACGGTGCTGACAAATAAAGAAACCTATAGAATTCATCCCATGATCAACGGAGCCTGGAAGCTGAGGGAAACAAGTCTGCTTCGCCATGTTGTTTTGTTTGTTGATTAACGCCGCATTCAGCAATTTGTCAGCAAAATGACAGCGAGTCTGTAAATAATTGAGTCTAGACCAGACAATCCAGTGATTGACATCATGATCATCGATCTACACAATTTGGGACGCGATGAAATGCATCAACCAAGTCAGCCTGCTTGACCACCCGATCCCGTCAGTCGCCTCTTACGACAAGCATAGTCGCCGCTTACGGCAAGCATGGGTTGCTGAAGACCTATTCTACCCCGGATCAGCACGTCTAACCTTGTACATGTACACGTGTCTGTATGTCAAACTATGCCAACCTTGCACATGTACGCGTGTCTATATGTCCACATATGCCAACCTTGCACATGAACACATGCATATATGTCTACATATGCCAACCTTGTACATGTACACGTGTCTATATGTCTATCAATGCCAACCTTGTACATGTACGCGTGTCTATTGGTCTAACAGTGCCAACCTTGCACATGTACACGTGTCTATATGTCTACATATGCCAACCTTGCACATGTGCGTGTGTCTATATGTCCACATATGCCAACCTTGCACATGAACACATGCATATATGTCTACATATGCCAACCTTGCACATGAACACATGTCTACATATGCCAACCTTGCACATGAACACATGTCTACATATGCCAACCTTGCACATGAACACATGTCTACATATGCCAACCTTGCACATGAACACATGTCTACATATGCCAACCTTGTACATGTACACGTGTCTGTATGTCTAACAATGACAACTATGCACATGTACATTTGTCTACATGTCTAACAGTGCCAACCTTGCACATGAACACATGCATATATGTCTACATATGCCAACCTTGCACATGAACACATGTCTACATATGCCAACCTTGCACATGCACACGTGTCTGTATGTCTAACAATGCCAACCTTGCACACGTACATTTGTCTACATGTCTAACAGTGCCAACCTTGCACATGAACACATGCATATATGTCTACATATGCCAACCTTGCACATGTACACGTGTCTATATGTCTAGCAATGCCAACCTTGCACATGTGCACGTGTCTATATGTCTAGCAATGCCAACCTTGCACATGTACACGTGTCTATATGTCCACATATGCCAACCTTGCACATGTACATGTGTATATATGTCTGTGAATCACTCAAACCCATGACTGTAAACATCACCAACGAGACACGTCACCTATCCTGACCACCCGATCCCTTTTGTCGGGATCCGTGAAGATCCGGGGTAGAATAGGTCTTCAGCAACCCATGCTCGCCGTAAAAGGCGACTATGCTTGTCGTGAGAGGCGACTAACGGGATTGGGTGGTCAGTCTCGCTGACTTGGTTGATGCATGTCATCGATCCCAAGTGCGTGGATCGATGGTCATGATATCAATCACTTGATTGTCTGGTCCAGACTCGATTATTTACAGACCGCCGTCATACAGCTGGAATATTGCTGAGTGTGGCATTAAACAACAAACCAACCAACTTTAGTCGGCTCTCACGACAGACATGAAGTGTTCCGGACTTATAGGTTTCTGCTACTTAAGTGCACAGTGTAAATTAAGTTGTTAATAAGAGTTGGCTATTAACAAAAGGTAGCTGTTAAGATGATATCCATGATCAACATTAAAAAAGCGAAAATGACACCACTATAAAGTTTATTTAATTTTTAAATCAGTATATACTACTGAAATATATTTCTTTCTAGTTCTGTCTGTTTTAACTTATTATGGCTATTTCAGAAGTTCACATTAAATTAACTAATAAACACATTATAGAAAACGGAAGTTTTTTCTTTTTAATAATTAATTGTCCTACATATCGAGAAATAGAACTGTTATTGAGGCTTTGTCTTGACTCGAACAGATTATATTTCTCAGCTTTCCACATAAACTAAGTAATGTTATAGATTGTATCTATCAGTATATCATTAAAAACAAACAAAAACAATAAACACAACACTCGATAGAACTCAAAAGATAAACGATCATCCGAGGGTCGGTGGCGATTCATATCTTTCTTTAACCCGACATGTGTATCGAGAGACAACCCCTTGAAGATCTCGGTTAGAATAGATCTTAAGCTACCCGTTACGGGATCGGGTGGTCAGGCTCGCTGACTTGGTTGATGCATGTCATCGATCCCAAGTGCGTGGATCGATGCCCATGATATCAACCACTGGATTGTCTGGTCCAGACTCGATTATTTACAGACCGCCGTCATATGGCTTGAATATTGCCGAGTGCGATATTAAACAACAAACAAACAAACAATCTAGAGACAAGGAGAATCAACACTTACACAGATTGCATGACGCCTTGCAACGTTTCCTCATTTTCTTTTTCTGTTTCTTGTCGGTACAAAACCCCTTCTTGGCCAATTTCTTGCATTTAGGCTTTTCGTCTTTACACTCTATAATTAAGAAATTACAGATTACACGTGAACGTTTGTAATAATGGAAAATGTCAAACCCTTATATTCGGCTCCTGTAATGAGTGAGTTGGGTTAATCGCCGCTTTTAACAGTATTCCAGTTATATCACGGCGTGTCAGCTAAATGTGTGAGGAAAGCCCGAAGTGATGCAGGTCTCAGACGTTTACCACTTCGAAGAAACCCACGATCACGGGTATGGTGCTGACAAACCTAGAAACATAATCGGGGCGAACCGGGATTCGAACCCACAATCATAGGTTTCTTGCGTGCCCAAGGGACGCAACTCTGCACAGCGAATCGCGGCACCTTAGACGACTGGGCCACCCGTGTCCCACGGCTCCTGTAAGCACAAATATCTATTTCATCGTATAACGGGCACTGGTGTCTCACTTAAATCAGTTGCCAACTTAAATCAGTAACATACACTTACATGTTTTCTACCTTCCAACACTGGAAATATTCACCTGGAAAAAGCTTAGCACCGCTTGTATTTCCTTGAAATAAAATAGTCGATTTGTAAAGTCGTATCTATATTAATTTTATTGATTTCGTCTGCAGGAATAAGGAACTACAAAACTAAACCGAGTATCTAATGACAGCCCAGAAACCGAGTATCCGTTTACGGAACAAAAACCGAGTATATAATGTCGGAACAGAGACCGAGTATATAATGACGGAACAGAGACCGAGTATATAATGTCGGAACAGAGACCGAGTATATAATGTCGGAACAGAGACCGAGTATATAATGACGGAACAGAGACCGAGTATATAATGACGGAACAAAAACCGAGTATATAATGACGGAACAGAGACCGAGTATATAATGTCGGAACAGAGACCGAGTATGTAATGACGGAACAGAGACCGAGTATGTAATGACGGAACAGAGACCGAGTATATAATGACGGAACAGAGACCGAGTATATAATGACGGAACAAAAACCGAGTATATAATGACGGAACAGAGACCGAGTATATAATGACGGAACAAAAACCGAGTATATAATGACGGAACAGAGACCGAGTATATAATGTCGGAACAGAGACCGAGTATGTAATGACGGAACAGAGACCGAGTATATAATGACGGAACAGAGACCGAGTATATAATGACGGAACAGAGACCGAGTATATAATGACGGAACAGAGACCGAGTATATAATGACGGAACAGAGACCGAGTATGTAATGACGGAACAGAGACCGAGTATGTAATGACGGAACAGAGACCGAGTATATAATGACGGAACAAAAACCGAGTATATAATGACGGAACAGAGACCGAGTATATAATGACGGAACAAAAACCGAGTATATAATGACGGAACAGAGACCGAGTATATAATGTCGGAACAGAGACCGAGTATGTAATGACGGAACAGAGACCGAGTATGTAATGACGGAACAGAGACCGAGTATATAATGACGGAACAGAGACCGAGTATATAATGACGGAACAGAGACCGAGTATATAATGACGGAACAGAGACCGAGTATATAATGACGGAACAGAGACCGAGTATGTAATGACGGAACAGAGACCGAGTATGTAATGACGGAACAGAGACCGAGTATATAATGACGGAACAAAAACCGAGTATATAATGACGGAACAGAGACCGAGTATATAATGACGGAACAAAAACCGAGTATATAATGACGGAACAGAGACCGAGTATATAATGTCGGAACAGAGACCGAGTATATAATGACGGAACAGAGACCGAGTATGTAATGACGGAACAGAGACCGAGTATGTAATGACGGAACAGAGACCGAGTATATAATGACGGAACAAAAACCGAGTATATAATGACGGAACAGAGACCGAGTATGTAATGACGGAACAAAAACCGAGTATGTAATGACGGAACAGAGACCGAGTATGTAATGACGGAACAGAGACCGAGTATATAATGTCGGAACAGAGACCGAGTATGTAATGACGGAACAGAGACCGAGTATATAATGTCGGAACAGAGACCGAGTATGTAATGGCGGAACAGAGACCGAGTATGTAATGGCGGAACAGAGACCGAGTATATAATGACGGAACAGAGACCGAGTATATAATGACGGAACAGAGACCGAGTATGTAATGACGGAACAGAGACCGAGTATGTAATGACGGAACAGAGACCGAGTATATAATGACGGAACAAAAACCGAGTATATAATGACGGAACAGAGACCGAGTATATAATGACGGAACAAAAACCGAGTATGTAATGACGGAACAGAGACCGAGTATGTAATGACGGAACAGAGACCGAGTATATAATGTCGGAACAGAGACCGAGTATGTAATGACGGAACAGAGACCGAGTATATAATGTCGGAACAGAGACCGAGTATGTAATGGCGGAACAGAGACCGAGTATGTAATGGCGGAACAAGTATCTAATGGCGGAACAAAAACCGAGTATCTAATGGCGGAACAAATACCGAGTAAGTATCTCGTGATAAGTTTCGTCATTGTTCTACGCTTATAGTAACTTCACTTCCCATTCAAATGATTCCCTTGTATCTTTGCATCATCATCATCTTGCGATCATCTGGAGGAACATTCATTGTTCTATTACTGCGTTTACAGCATATATCGGCCTATCTTAGACCTTTATCAACATTACATCAAGGTCAATTTTGATACTTCCATAGATACAAGGGAGTTCGTATTATGTGGAAAAAATAAACGGTTGTGTCGGATGGCAGTTTGTGATTGTACTATATATTTGTCAACAACACACCTGGCACTTGTGGTGTGTCCGTCCCAGCTGTTCCCGAGTTACCCGAACCTGTTGAGCATTATACATGATAGTAACACATTACATGGTTGCAATAAACGAATACAACAGTACGCCTGTAAAGACGTGTGGTGAGTACCGATGTATTCGGCGAATGTGGACGATCTCCAGTCGAAACTGAAGAGCAGAAAAACCTACACCTCTCAACTGATTTTATCATATGTTTGACTTTCAGCTGAAAATATCTTACGTTAGCGATATTAAATACAAAAATGAACAGAACTGGCGCGAAGCCAGCACTCAAATATACGTCTGCAGGGTTCAATTGTTTAAAATATAACTTGATTTAAAACTTTAATTATTTTAAAACATCCCTCGTACATAACTGCTGATTGGTATCGCAGCCATTTCATCTTTGAAAATTAAAGAATTTGCTGTTTCGGCACAAATGTATAACATTTCGAACATGTAGGGGAGGTATGATTGCATTTTCATTTCTTACCCAAGGAACCAATTTATTTTTACACAAGAATTCCAAGCTACAGATTACTTCTTTGCAAATTGTATACGGAATGCGCGATGGTTAAATAGACATAGTCAGATTTAAGTTCAATTTTCCATAAAAAAAACAAACTCGGTATACATGTACTTTCTTTTGTCACGCAGTTTATGCACTTTCCTTTCGAAGGGCGTTTTTCATACTGGCACTTCCATTCCCGAACCACGCTATCTAATCCCTATAAAACCCTTCTTTATCTTTTAGCCAGTAAAAAACGTAACACAAATAACTGGGTAAGATATATTAACAATATACTTTACAGTTGTGGATCTGGAAATATGGATGGAGCAAGGTGTTGGGGTCAGGAACTATTTACGTCAGCGATGGACTGTTGTCAACTGGTGTGAAACACTGCAACTCAGGCCCTGATGTTTTACAGTTTCACTCGTTCAAGAACACTTAAACTCGGAACATATATTGTTTAATTAGTTAAATCCAATGTGGCTTCTACGACTTCAGTGATTATAAAGGAAATTTCTACAATATGGAAGTTAACTTACATAATGTAAATACAAAGAAATAAATACTTTCTTTTAGTCTGTTCAGTATAAAAGGATTTGAGAAATATTTATTAACCACTTAAGTTTAATACTTGTGCATTCATTACATTGGTGTTGGCATCAACAAATAAATGTACTATTAACTCTGTTTTGTACATCATGTTTTGTTAAAACGAAAAACACAGCTTAAACTCTGTAGGCCCTACTTATATCTGTGCTTCTGGTTTATGGCCTACAGTTCCTGACATAAACAATGTTCAAAATTCAAACAGAAAACATTGAAAATATTTTCTCCCCAAATGCTTACTTGTAATTGCCATTTCAGAAGTTCACATCAGTTTACATAACTTATGTGGCTTTTAACACATTGTATCCTTATTCACTTTCCTTTTTATGGTATATGCGTCAGAAACCTATTCAGAAATTCAAATCTTTTTTGATGTTTTTAAAGCTGTTTCACCTACTACCATGTAAAATAAACAAAGATAGAGATAAATAATCGTAATGCTCCCAATCATATAATATAAAAGTAACGGCGCTTCACATAAAGTTCCATTAAAATACATTTATTCTGAAAATAAATAAAGCTTCTTTCAATGCATATTCATGAAGACATCACCTCGACTTTAAGATCGTGCTAACCCGTGTCTAACAGTGCCAACCTTGCACATGTACACGTGTCTATATGACTACATATGCCAACCTTGCACATGTACATGTGTATATATGTCTGTGAATCACTCAAACCCATGACTGTAAACATCACCAACGAGACACGTCACCTATCCTGACCACCCGATCCCTTTAGTCGAGATCCGTGAAGATCCGGGGTAGAATAGGTCTTCAGCAAGCCATGCTCGCCGTAAAAGGCGACTATGCTTGTCGTGAGAGGCGACTAACGGGATTGGGTGGTCAGTCTCGCTGACTTGGTTGATGCATGTCATCGATCCCAAGTGCGTGGATCGATGGTCATGATATCAATCACTGGATTGTCTGGTCCAGACTCGATTATTTACAGACCGCCGTCATACAGCTGGAATATTGCTGAGTGTGGCATCAAACAACAAACCAACCAACTTTAGTCGGCTCTCACGACAGACATGAAGTGTTCCGGACTTATAGGTTTCTGCTACTTAAGTGCACAGTGTAAATTAAGTTGTTAATAAGAGTTGGCTATTAACAAAAGGGAGCTGTTAAGATGATATCCATGATCAACATTAAAAAAGCGAAAATGACACCACTATAAAGTTTATTTAATATTGAAATCAGTATATACCACTGAAATATATTTCTTTCTAGTTCTGTCTGTTTTAACTTATTATGGCTATTTCAGAAGTTCACATTAAATTAACTAATAAACACATTATAGAAAACGGAAGTTTTTTCTTTTTAATAATTAATTGTCCTACATATTGAGAAATAGAACTGTTATTGAGGCTTTGTCTTGACTCGAACAGATTATATTTCTCAGCTTTCTACATAAACTAAGTAATGTTATAGATTGTATCTATCAGTATATCATTAAAAACAAACAAAAACAATAAACACAACACTCGATAGAACTCAAAAGATAAACGATCATCCGAGGGTCGGTGGCGATTCATATCTTTCTTTAACCCGACATGTGTATCGAGTGACAACCCCTTGAAGATCTCGGTTAGAATAGATCTTAAGCTACCCGTTACGGGATCGGGTGGTCAGGCTCGCTGACTTGGTTGATGCATGTCATCGATCCCAAGTGCGTGGATCGATGCCCATGATATCAATCACTGGATTGTCTGGTCCAGACTCGATTATTTACAGACCGCCGTCATATGGCTTGAATATTGCCGAGTGCGATATTAAACAACAAACAAACAAACAATCTAGAGACAAGGAGAATCAACACTTACACAGATTGCATGACGCCTTGCAACGTTTCCTCATTTTCTTTTTCTGTTTCTTGTCGGTACAAAACCCCTTCTTGGCCAATTTCTTGCATTTAGGCTTTTCGTCTTTACACTCTATAATTAAGAAATTACAGATTACACGTGAACGTTGTTTGTAATAATGGAAAATGTCAAACCCTTATATTCGGCTCCTGTAATGAGTGAGTTGGGTTAATCGCCGCTTTTAACAGTATTCCAGTTATATCACGGCGTGTCAGCTAAATGTGTGAGGAAAGCCCGAAGTGATGCAGGTCTCAGACGTTTACCACTTCGAAGAAACCCACGATCACGGGTATGGTGCTGACAAACCTAGTGACATAATCGGGGCGAACCGGGATTCGAACCCACAATCATAGGTTTCTGGCGTGCCCAAGGGACGCAACTCTGCACAGCGAATCGCGGCACCTTAGACGACTGGGCCACCCGTGTCCCACGGCTCCTGTAAGCACAAATATCTATTTCATCGCATAACGGGCACTGGTGTCTCACTTAAATCAGTTGCCAACTTAAATCAGTAACTTACACTTACATGTTTTCTACCTTCCAACACTGGAAATATTCACCTGGAAAAAGCTTAGCACCGCTTGTATTTCCTTGAAATAAAATAGTCGATTTGTAAAGTCGTATCTATATTAATTTTATTGATTTCGTCTGCAGGAATAAGGAACCACAAAACTAAACCGAGTATCTAATGACAGCCCAGAAACCGAGTATCCGTTTACGGAACAAATACCGAGTATATAATGACGGAACAGAGACCGAGTATGTAATGGCGGAACAAGTATCTAATGGCGGAACAAAAACCGAGTATCTAATGGCGGAACAAATACCGAGTAAGTATCTCGTGATAAGTTTCGTCATTGTTCTACGCTTATAGTAACTTCACTTCCCATTCAAATGATTCCCTTGTATCTTTGCATCATCATCATCTTGCGATCATCTGGAGGAACATTCGTTGTTCTATTACTGCGTTTACAGCATATATCGGCCTATCTTAGACCTTTATCAACATTACATCAAGGTCAATTTTGATACTTCCATAGATACAAGGGAGTTCGTATTATGTGGAAAAAATAAACGGTTGTGTCAGATGGCAGTTTGTGATTGTACTATATATTTGTCAACAACACACCTGGCACTTGTGGTGTGTCCGTCCCAGCTGTTCCCGAGGTACCCGAACCTGTTGAGCATTATACATGATAGTAACACATTACATGGTTGCAATAAACGAATACAACAGTACGCCTGTAAAGACGTGTGGTAAGTACCGATGTATTCGGCGAATGTGGACGATCTCCAGTCGAAACTGAAGAGCAGAAAAACCTACACCTCTCAACTGATTTTATCATATGTTTGACTTTCAGCTGAAAATATCTTACGTTAGCAATATTAAATACAAAAATGAACAGAACTGGCGCGAAGTCAGCACTCAAATATACGTCTGCAGGGTTCAATTGTTTAAAATATAACTTGATTTAAAACTTTAATTATTTTAAAACATCCCTCGTACATAACTGCTGATTGGTATCGCAGCCATTTCATCTTTGAAAATTAAAGAATTTGCTGTTTCGGCACAAATGTATAACATTTCGAACATGTAGGGGAGGTATGATTGCATTTTCATTTCTTACCCAAGGAACCAATTTATTTTTACACAAGAATTCCAAGCTACAGATTACTTCTTTGCAAATTGTATACGGAATGCGCGATGGTTAAATAGACATAGTCAGATTTAAGTTCAATTTTCCATAAAAAAAACAAACTCGGTATACATGTACTTTCTTTTGTCACGCAGTTTATGCACTTTCCTTTCGAAGGGCGTTTTTCATACTGGCACTTCCATTCCCGAACCACGCTATCTAATCCCTATAAAACCCTTCTTTATCTTTTACTCAGGCCATGATGTTTTACAGTTTCACTCGTTCAAGAACACTTAAACTCGGAACATATATTGTTTAATTAGTTAAATCCAATGTGGCTTCTACGACTTCAGTGCTTATAAAGGAAATTTCTACAATATGGAAGTTAACTTACATAATGTAAATACAAAGAAATAAATACTTTCTTTTAGTCTGTTCAGTATAAAAGGATTTGAGAAATATTTATTAACCACTTAAGTTTAATACTTGTGCATTCATTACATTGGTGTTGGCATCAACAAATGAATGTACTATTAACTCTGTTTTGTACATCATGTTTTGTTAAAACGAAAAACACAGCTTAAACTCTGTAGGCCCTACTTATATCTGTGCTACTGGTTTATGGCCTACAGTTCCTGACATAAACAATATTCAAAATTCAAACAGAAAACATTGAAAATATTTTCTCCCCAAATGCTTACTTGTAATTGCCATTTCAGAAGTTCACATCAGTTTACATAACTTATGTGGCTTATAGCACATTGTATCCTTATTCACTTTCCGTTTTATGGTATATGCGTCAGAAACCTATTCAGAAATTCAAATCTTTTTTGATGTTTTTGACGCTGTTTCACCTACTACCATGTAAAGTAAACAAAGATAGAGATTTATAATCGTAATGCTCCCCATCACATAATATAAAAGTAACGGCGCTTCACATAAAGTTCCATTAAAATACATTTATTCTGAAAATAAATAATGCTTCTTTCAATGCATATTCATGAAGACATCACCTCGACTTTAAGATCGGGATTCACAATTTGCACGTGCATGTTTATGCACGGCGCACAATTTGGATGTGTGCGTTTTGTTTGGTGAATGATACTCACACACGTTGTGTTTCAGTGTGAACAGCATACCATGATTGTTTTGCTATCAGGTGCTCATAAAAACACTTGTTTAACCGTAAATAACGCTTACGCAATGACTGTATATCACTGTATATGCGCAGTGGGTATGCTGCCAACAGGCATGGCGAAATACGAAGTTGCCAGACATTTTGATATTCATCAAAACACAAAATCATCTTGGGAGACGTTATCTACTGCAGGGCAACACCCATGTCTTGCCACTGGCCAGTCGTTCACGTGTGACGTCACCACAACAAGTCAACCATTTTCGGTGGGTGTATCTATGGAATCGATATCAATCTGCCACATTAACAGCTCGGACAATTCCTGACACGAGGCCAGTTTGTGGCAGAACCGTACGCAACCGGTAGAGGTAGTACTACGACGGGTGTTAAGGGTCTTCAGGCGTCCAGGAGAACGATTAAGCGAAGCTTGCGTGACGCAGCGTCGTCAGCTTGGAGGTGTCATGGTATGGGGTGGCATCACAATTTATGAAAGAACACAACTCATCATTGTTAATGGTATTTTGAGTGGCTACCGGGACGGCATGTTCGAGATCATGATCATGCAAATGCAGGTCCGAAACGTCCCATTGCAGCAGGATAATGCCCGCCCGCATATCCAGACCTCTCCCCCATAGAACATGTCTGGGATGAGATACAGAAACGTCTACGACAGGACCAGAACCAGCCGGTAGCTGTTGGGCCAATCTATGCATGACAGTTGGAACAACATCCCCCAGACTGTTTTCAGTCATCCAATGTCTTCAATGCACCGCCTGTATCAACGCAAATGGTGGTCACACCCTATGTTGACACTGTTAATTGAATAAACACCACCCCTCTTTTAGGACGTGTCGCTCTGTCTCCAATTACCAGGTATTGGTTTTGTCAATGAATTTGGTAAGATAAAACATTGATCAGACGAATTAAATACATCACAACATTGACTCCACGTTATACCTTTACCTTTTTCCTTTAGTATACAAAATACTATCAAGAGACACAATGTTCGATTAAACTCACAAGAAACAAGATCGTGAGAGGGTAGGTGAATATTCATGTTTAACCCTCCTTGTGTACTAGCACTAGTATCTACAGCCGAGGATTAATTAATCAACACTTACACAGATTGCATGACTTCTTGCAATGTTTCCGCATTTTCTTTGCATGTTTCTTGTCGGTACACAATCCTTTCCCAGCTTGTTTCTTACAATTCCGCTTTTCGTCCTCACACTTTGTGTCACCTATAATTAAGAAATGACATATTACAGTTGAACGCTGGTTTCAATGATAGAGTCAAAACATTTATACCTTCATATTCGGCTTCCGAAAGCAAACATATGCAGGGGACACAACAAATATTCAGATGCCTGACATGTAAACGATATTTCTTAACAGATGTAATCCTTTTATGCGCTACCTGACGTACAGAATTACACAAACGTAGAGTTTGTTTTTGCGTTCACAGTTCGTAGTATTTGTTACATAGCTGATTCCGAAGTCAATCAAATGTCATATTTAAACAATGGAGTCTGACAAAGTAAAAAGGTTTATACCGTCAAGATATATCAATACCATGTATTTATGACATAATGTATGTGGGTTTTTTTATTGTATTACATATTTGTAACTACAAACCTGTTGTTTTCATCATGTCATTATCCACGATTTACATTAAATAAAAATATACGGTTCATGTAATATAATATTCAGCATAATATACTGCTGATATACATTTATTTCTAATGTGGTCTTTTAAACTTGTCATGGATAGTTCAGAAGTTCATATCAATTCACAAATCAACACATAAAAGAAGAGGGATGTTTTCTTTCTTTAACAATTGTCCTACATATGCAACAACACATTCAGAAATACAGTTGTGCTATATAGGCTTTGTCTTGACCCGAACAGCTTTCAGCTTCTCAGCTTTCAACATAAACTAAGCAATGTAATAGATTGTATATATCATTAAGTCTCTATCACTCAAAGATGGTCAGATGAAATGGGGTTTAACGTCACGTCAAAGATTATTGCACTCATATAGCGACGTGCGTGTACTTGTCCGGACTGATGCCGATGTTATAATGCTAGCCCACTGAGATACCATGCCGCAGTTTAACATGACTACCCCACTCAGATACAGTATACTGACTCCGAGTCGACCAGTTCTTGTTTTGGGCCATTAATGGCGAGCGCCAGGCAGAGTATCAACAAGTACCATGTTTTAACGTCTTTCGGTATGACGCGACCGGTGATCCAATCCCGGATCTTCCCTCTCCGCGCGTACGCTCTACCAGTAGACCACGAAGGCAGTCTTCTTTCACTCAAAACAAAGACACTACGATCAATAGAACTCCAACCAAAACATGATCATCCGAGGTTACGTGACGATTAATATTTTTAACCCAACATGTGTATCTATAAACAAGGAGTAATCAACACTTACACAGATGGCATGACGCCTTGCAACGTTTCTTCATTTTCTTTGCATGTTTCTTGTCGGTACAAAATCCCTTCGCAGCCATTTTCTTACAACTCCGCTTCTTGTCCGTACACCCTGCGCCACCTGTACTTAAGAAACTATTACAGTTTACAATTGAACACTTGTTTTAATAACTGTATTCAAAAACGTTAACTCCCTAAATTCGGCTCCTTAACACACATTGATAAATTTTCTTTCTTTTATCTAAGACATCAGGAATCCAGCAATCTGGTCATGTGAAGGTATAGGGAAATATGTCTGTGTAACCGGTGTTTTATGTTGGTGCAAAGACTTCTCGGCTTGTTATATTAAAATGTGTTTGTCTTCACGCCCTGTGACACCTTCAACAAAGAAATGAAAAATGACGAAAGAGGAAACCTTGTTTTAACAGATGCAAAACGCTAAATCTATAATTCATCCCACCCGAAGCACACAGACGTACTAACAAACATTGTCCAAACAAATAGATTCATATACTAGTATATGAATCAAATTTTTATGCATTAAGAGGTCGTTGTATTTGTTACAGCTCAGAACTCATTCAATCGAATGTCAACTATGAATAATGGATTTGGACAAGCTGTACAACTTTATATCGTCAACATAAAGTAATCCCGCGTATTCACGACATAAAATCTGTGGTCTTGATTTCGCATGTATAACATACCTGTTGTTTCAGCTGCTTTTCCTGTGTCAGCTGAACCTGTTAAGACGTTAAATAGCGAAACTGAAAACATTCTACAGTTGATGTTATACTGAAACAGAAGTCCATATGAGTTTAGAAATCAACACAGTATACCAAAAGGATTTTTTCTTTCTTTATAAGCATCTGTCATAATTCCGAGAAGACAAATCAGAAATAGAACTGTAGAAATAGAATTGAGGCTTTGTCTTGACCTGAAAAGATTATATTTCTCAGCTTTTTATATAAACTGAACAATGATAAATAGAATTCAAAAGGTACACGATCATCCGAGGGCAGATGAATATTGAAATGTTTCTTTAACCCTACATGTCCATCCCGGACGAGTATTAATCAACACTTACACAGATTGCAAGACGCCCGGCACTTCTTTATAATTTTGTTTGCTTTTTTGTTCTGGGTACATAATCCCATCTCAGCCAGTTCCTTACAATTACGTTTTCTGTCTTTACATACTGCATCACCTATAAGTAAGGAATGACAGATTACAATCTATTACATATTACATCATCTATTACATCTTATGTCTATAAAGTACAGTGGTGTCTGACAAACAATATAGGCTTAGAGTATTGTCAACTAATATTAAAAAGAAACATTCACAACTTAAAGTATTGTCGAACTCCCAACACTGGAAAAAAGCTCTATACCGCTTATTATGTATTCGCACGCGAAAAAGTAATGTTTTTTATTCGTATTTGGATTACTTTAAGACCGGAGCACTCTTGTTTGTGTACACAACATGGCATACCCATTAGCAAATACGGAACAGAAACCGAATATCTAATGACGGTACAGAAACCGAGTATCTAATTAATGACGGTACAGAAACCGAGTATCTAATGACGGTACAGAAACCGAGTATCTAATGACGGTACAGAAACCGAGTATCTAATAACACAGCAGAAACTGAGTATCTAATAACACAACTGAAACTGAGTATCTAATGACACAACAGAAACCGAGTATCTAATGACACAACAGAAACTGAGTATCTAATGACACAACAGAAACCGGATATCAAATGACGGCACAGAAACCGTGTATCTACTGATGGTACAGAAACCGGATATCAAATGACGGTACAGAAACCGAGTATCTAATGACGGTACAGAAACCGGATATCAAATGACGGTACAGAAACCGAGTATCTAATGACGGTACAGAAACCGTGTATCTACTGATGGTACAGAAACCGGATATCAAATGACGGTACAGAAACCGAGTATCTAATGACGGTACAGAAACCGAGTATCTAATGACGGTACAGAAACCGGATATCAAATGACGGTACAGAAACCGAGTATCTACTGATGGTACAGAAACCGGATATCAAATGACGGTACAGAAACCGAGTATCTAATGACGGTACAGAAACCGAGTATCTAATGACGGTACAGAAACCGGATATCAAATGACGGTACAGAAACCGAGTATCTAATGACGGTACAGAAACCGAGTATCTAATGACGGTACAGAAACCGGATATCAAATGACGGTACAGAAACCGAGTATCTAATGACGGTACAGAAACCGAGTATCTAATGACGGTACAGAAACCGGATATCAAATGACGGTACAGAAACCGAGTATCTACTGATGGTACAGAAACCGAGTATCTAATGACGGTACAGAAACCGAGTATCTAATGACGGTACAGAAACCGAGTATCTAATGACGGTACAGAAACCGTGTATCTAATGCCGGTACTGAAACCGGGTATCTAATGACGGAACCGAAATCGAGTACCTAATGACATGGTTTGAAATTGTTCCACGCTTACAGTAACCTAAATGATTCCTTTGTATTTTTGCATGATAGGATGTCACGCAGCTCTTGCGATCATCTGGAGGAACAAACAGAGTCCTGTTACCACGTTGACAGCATATATCGGCCGAATATTAGACATACTGAAGATTTTCCAAAACGTTAAACCCTTTCATTCGGCTCATGAAAGCACATGGATAAAGAAATGCTTTCTTTTACTTTAGATAACAGTGAGTGAGTGAGTGAGTGAGTGAGTTGGGTTTAACGCCGCTTTTAATAGTATTCGAGTTATATCACGGCGTGTCAGCTTAATGTGGGAGGAAAACATTTACCACTTCGATGAAACCCACGAGCACGGGTATGATGCTGACAAACCTAGAAACTTAATCGGGGCGAACCGGGATTCGGACCCACAGTCATAGGTTTCTGGCGTGCCCAAGGGACACAACTCTGCACAGTGAATCGCGGCGTCTTAGACGACTGGGATACTTAAGATAACAGGCATACACTTACGGAATTATATGCGTTTACCATTTGTCTCTTTTTGGACTTATTCTTTCACAGCCTGTATTTTTACAAAAGCGTCTTCGTCCTTCGAGACCTTTAATAAAGAAGTATCATTATTTATAATATCAACACTTACATGCGAGTGATGGGATTAAACTCATGGTGTATGCTTGATGGTGAACCACATTTCACATCACTGGTTTGCCAATTCTAATTCCATCACCTAGACAGTACACTGATTGATTTGTTGACATCTGATTGAGTTCTCCAATCTTAACATGCCTAGTGCTTGTCGTTTATACGCTATGTGATGTGCTGTCTCGCAAAGAAAACTACTCTAACACAGCAGGAGTTCCCCAACGCCAAACATTTCACCCGAACAAAGTCATGCAGGTGTTTGGGAACATTCTGCTAGGAGCTATTCCCGCCAAATTCTGAATTTGCCTAAACATGATGTCTTTGTAATCACTCTTCATGCGCTCCCACATTTTTGTCATAAGTAAAAATCTTTTTCCGAAGTGAACTTGCATACATTTTCGGGCTGTAATCAATGTCAAACAATTATCCATTAATTCATTTAATGTTGAACTTTCACTAGAAGTAATTCATTGATTAGATGGTTATCAATTTCATCGAATGTCAGATATTCGTACCAATATCGTGAATAGACAACTTTTATAAAATATTTGCTACGGGCCTGGAGTGTTTTTACTGGGTTTGTATTTGTAACTTCTTGTGGTCATGTCAACTGTTTCTTTGTCACTCAGGCAAGTTAACCTATCCTTTGTGAAACACATTTCCATTATAATAACACCCTAGATGACTGGGTCGCCATCGCGTATAGGGCAGAAATGAACACATCACCAGTTCCATACAAATCCTTAAAGTGTAGCAAAAGGATAATACTCAACAAATGAATACCTTTACCGTATATACGAGCAGCAAATATTAACGCAATTTCACATCTTTAACGAATGTATCCATGATTGGCTCTTGAGATTTGGCCATAACATAGATGTTTTGAAAAGGTGTGTGAGTTTGGGTATTTATGTCAGAAATTATCATTGTAGGTAGGCATGGTGAAATAATGACTGTTAGTGAGTGAGTATGGTATTACGCCGCTTTTAGCAATCTTCAAGCAATATCACGTCGGGGGACACCAGAAATGGGCTTCAAACATTGTACCCATGTCGGGAATCGAACCAGGGTGTTCGGCGTGACGAGCGAACGCTTTAACCACTAGGCTACCCGACTGTTAGTTTAGGTTGCATAATGAAGGGTTTAGGTTTCTGCAATATTCAAATTATGCGTAGTAACATATTTTTAGGGCAGAACTCACGATGGAAATCGACTTACAGTGTGTATTTCAATTGTTTGGAACAACAGGCGTCATAGTGTAGCTCTGCTGTTTTGAACCAAACCTTGCAAAGCGTGTTCATTTTCTTTGAGGGAAACCACTTTACGTATGCTCACGGGGAGCACGGGGGGCCCAGTCGTCTAAGGCGCCGCGATTCACTGTGCAGAGCTGCGTCCCTTGGGCACCCCAGAAACCTATGATTGTGGGTTCGAATCCCGGTTCGCCCCGAATATGTCTCTAGGTTTGTCAGCACCATACCCGTGCTCGTGGGTTTCACCGAAGTGGTAAACGTCTGAGACCTGTATCACTTCGGGCTTTCCTCCCACATTAAGCTGACACGCCGCGATTTAACTGTAATACTGTTAAAAGCGGCGTTAAACCAAACTCACTCACTCATTCACTCACGTATGCTCACGGAGAGGCTGCTCTGCACGGGTATATATGTGCTTAATGTTACTTTAACCTCACGTTGCGCTTTCGATTCAATTCAGCATTGTCACAATATAACGTAACATACATGCAGCTCTTCATTGAAAACACAGTTTTTGAATTGTCAGACTCAAAGGGTGGACTTACTTTGATCGGTGAGACACAGGATGCAGATTCCCAGCAGTAGAATACAAGTAGCAGCTCCGTGCATCCTGGTCTTGTCCGCCACCGGAACAAATCGCAGAACCTTTTCCTTATGAAAATATCCCACAATAGCCGTTATATTACCTACTATTTATAGGCAGCCGATATCTGTTTAATGTTATGTGCCAGGTTGGCACATATAGTAAACAGTACATAACACAATAACAGGAGCAAACCGATGTGAAACATGATCTCCCTGAGAAGCAAGGCTAACAACGATTCCTGTCATGTCACACGAAATGTGCATTTTCAGCTATAGTTATGGCTATTGTTTTATTAACCTAACATATGAAAATAGAAATAAGAATAGTAGAGAACTATATCAGCCTGAATAATACATTTCAACCGCCTTAGGGAAGTTTTGTGGTAGATTCCTCAAGACAAAGACCAACCAACATTCGATTCCCATCATAGCTATAAAGCCTATCCGTGGGATCCCACGCCATGATATTGCCGTGATGGGCATTAAATCACACACACTCCTTCCCTCGACGTTGTCACATTCATATCTGTATTTGTAAAGTGAGGTGAAATGGACGCCGAGTTCAAGATTATTTCATTCCTACAGAGACGCCCATGCACGGTTACATGTATCTGGCTGATTGTACTAGTTCTAGCCCACTAAGACACCATGCCGTAGTTTAACATGAATACCCCACTCAGACACATATTACTAAATCCGAACCGACCAGCCTTTGTTTTATCCTCGCAATACTAAACGTGAGTCAAGTTAACAGCAAGTACCATCTTTTAACGTATTTTGGTATGACGCTGTGGGATCAAACCACTGACCTTTCACTCTCCGGGCAGACGTTCTACAACTGGACCACCCGGGCAGTCAAATGTATTAACAAATGTAATCTATTCGTAAGAATATGGTGTGACCCTTGTTGATTACATATAACATCAGAAGACGATTCCCGGTGCCTACTATGCTGATTTGCTTCTTCGCCCGACAGAGTCTATCAAAGAAAAGCGGCGTGGAATGCTGACTGCTGGAGTTCCACTACTTCATGACAACGCCTCTTCTCACACCTCTCGACTTGCAAAAGCTGCTGTGCTTCCTCACCCTTTCTACTCGCCAGACTTGGCACCAAGTGACTTCCACCAGTTTCCTAACCTGAAATAACACCTCTATGGAGAGCGCTGTGACGACAACAATGACCTCAAAGCTGCTGTGAATGGGTGGCTTCAGAAAACTTCTTCCTGACTGGAATTGAAAAGCTTTACTATAGAAAAGAGAAGTGTATAGAACAGCAGGGAGATTATGTTGAAAAATATAATTATAAACACTTTCACAGTTTTTTGTTTTGTTTGTTAGGCTCAGAACCTTTGACCAGCCGTCGTAAGTATATATACAATGTCAACGCAAAAGAGTGGCCAAGTGTTCGCGAAAAGGGTAAGCATGTCCTGCCCTTCCGGTATCAACGCCATTGACACAATTTGCATAAAAAATTAAGTATTTATTGCCTGAGCCGACTGAAGGCACTGGCGGATCAAGATGTGTGAATTTGGTGCAAACATTCCGCTATTTCCCCACACCCGACGTAGGTGTCGGTTTATCTGTCCTGTTTTCGTTCAATATTGACCAAGGTAGTGTGCTGCCCCTTCTACAAAACCCTGGATCCACCCCTGTAACGAAACGGGTCGTCAGACTCGCTGACTCGGTTGCCCTTGTAAACCAACAATGGGGGACGGTGCGCATAATATCAGTCACATGTTTGTCTGGTCCAGACTCGATTTGGGACATGCCGCCGTAATATAGCTTGAATATTTCTGAGTGTGGCTCTGAGGAACAAACAGACAGAAACAAAAAGAACATCGACATAACTTCCATTTAGTGTACAGAAGATCATAGATGTTACCAGGTGATCACCAAGCTAGTTATATCCAGACATAAACAGGTATAAACTATATTGAATACTAGTATCAAACAGGTACATGTGCACCTGAACAGCGAATGTCTGATTTCCCTGGATTCCATGATGGCGGGAGTTGATACGGATCTGGCTTCCAATTAGAATAAGACCGAAGGAACCCAATAAAGTATGTAACCTAAACCATACCTAATAATGTAGGGGACTTTTTTATTTGCTTTCGTGTGACTGGAAACATTGAACGTATTTTCTCAAGGCTCCTACCCTTCGTGTGGTAATGAAATTTGTCAGATTTTGGCAATGTGGCAGGTTTGACATATTCAGAGGCAAAAAAACTGTGCGGTTATTTCTACAGAGTAAGCATGGGAAACTTTGTTTTTCTTCTGAGACCTAACTTACTTGAAAGTTATTTGTTTTTACTGAGATATGAGTTCGAGGATCAGCTACAGACGGGAATTGAATAATTCCTTCAGACGATATAACCGCAGAATTGATAAGTTGCTCTCCTCTCACCACTGTCAAAGGTAGCGTGTTTAAATCAGTATAAGATAACTAGTAAGTGACATTAATGTGATAACTGTGCATCAGCTATACCTTTCAATTTCAACTCTTTTTTTCACATAATTGATGGTGCTAGAGATGCCATACACCAATCTGATAAACTTGGCATCACGATCAAATACTTGCGCTTATAACTACATTCAATAAGCACCATACATTGATGAAAACTGTTGTTATTGCTGCTGCTGCTGCTGCTGCTGCTGCTGCCGCTGTTGTAGTAGCTGTTTATTCTGGTTGAGTGGCTGTGTACACAAAACGTGTCCATGGTAACAACAAGTACAGTATTCTAGGAAAACTTATTTCACATTGACATTAAACATAGTTATCAATATCGCTACACTCGCTTATACATACTGGTAATGTGAACGTTGTAGTTCCTCAAAGTGAACTTATGGGTAAAAATAATTGTTGATTTAAATAACAAGGGGATGTCATCAATTGTAGATGTTTACCAAATGTTTTTACGACGCTTCACATAATATTTTGACAAATACGTATTCCGTAAATTCTAGATATTGTGGACATTTGAATAACACATGACATTCGTCTCCTTTGTTAATGTTGCCTCGAAGTTTGAATATCTTCAAAAATCAGAAGGGGCGGTCGGGTAGCCTAGTGGTTAAAGCGTTTGATCGTCTCGCCGAAGACCCGGGTTCGATTCCCGACATGGGCACAATGTGTGAAGCCCATTTCTGGTGTCCCCCGCCGTGATATTGCTGGAATATTGCTAAAAGCGGCGTAAAACCATATTCACTCACACTCTGAGTACTTGTCATTACTTCTTACACGAGTCTTTACTTGTTCATGCTACTTGATTAGAGTTTCAACATCTTGCTGCTGACTCTTCGCAATTTAAGCAAGGCACAATGTTACACGGTTAATGGAGTCAAATGCTTTAGAAAAATCTACAAAGAGCGCATAAAGTTCAGCTACTTTACTTGATAAATAACGTTGAATTAAGGAATGTACCAAAAGAATATTGTCTACAGTTGAATACCCCTCTCTAAAACCAGTTTGGGCCTCATCTATTTTCTTAAATGATTCAGCCCAAAATACCAATCTTCTATTAATCATATCTAAGAATATTTTACTCAGTATGCTTAATAATGTGACGCCTCTGTAGTTATTGGTATCATTTACATTACCTTGTTTGTGGAGAGGAATGATAATGCCCACTGACCAATCTTTGGGAAAATTGGAGTTTTCAAAACTAGCATTAAATAAAACTTCTAAATATGGGACAATTATATCTGATGAATTCCGAAACACACCTCGGCTATTACGCTGTCAATACCAGGGGACCAGATATGAACGGCAAAGCCAAGCATGTGTTCAGGAGTACGTCCCTTTGGAGGCGATGGAGTAATGTTATTGGTGGGGCATTTTGTGGTCAACAAAAGACACCGTTAGTCACCATTCAAGAAAATGTGAACGCCCAAGCATACTGGGATCAAGTTTGGGCACTATTTATTGTGCCCTTTGTGCAACAACAAGCACGTGGAGCACGTTTCCAGTACCGCAACGCCAGACCACATACAGCCAGACTTACCATGAACTGGAACTGGTTTTGTCATGGCCGGCCCCTCCTGTCAAACACCTAGGCCTAGGGGTTCATCTAGGGGTACGATTGAGACGACGACTTGGACGGCCACAGAACATACAACAATTTGAAGAGACTCTGCATAAAAAGTGGAGGGCGATCGTGATATTCAGCTGTAACACGTTTACGCTGGAGGCAACACACACTTACTCACACTATCGATCACAGGATTATGTGCACCAGATTAGTTTGCGGAGCACCATGGCATTAGTTGTAACTTTGCTGAATGTGGTGAAGACAACACGTGCACTCACTTCTACCTCGGAGACGACCCGTGAAGACCCGGGTTAAAATGCAACTTCAGCAACCCTTGTGTGTCCTGAGAGGCAACTATGCTTGTCATAAAAGCCGACTAACGGGATCGGTGGTCAGACTCGTTGACTTGGTTGATGCATGTCATCCTATTCAATTTGCGTAGATCGATGATCATGATGTCAATCACTGGATTGTCTAGTCGAGACTCGATTATTTACAGACCGCCTTCGTTTAGCTGGAATATCGTTGAGTGTGGCGTTAAACAACAGACAAAAAAACAAACCTTGGATATGGTGTGAGATGTTTCATAATGTCATCACGTTGGGGTCTTATCAGTATTCACACAATAATCCAATGTGAACATGCTGCCGCAGTGATGTTTCTGTTCAAATGACTGTTCAAACTCGTCAGATACCTTGGCCCATTCGCACAAAGCGATCTTAGCGCTACGACAATTTTAAGTCTATGTTTGAATATGGAAGTTACGGTCATCGTAGCCTAAGTTCGCTATGTGCAGTGAGCCCAGGGCGATTAACGGGTTCATAAAGTTTGTTTTAGTATGTTATTTATTACTTGCCTTTTATAACCTTTAAAAGACATTTCATCGAAGTATGGAAATTCCCGTCATAAACTGCGACAAGAGTACGAATATTTCACTGTCGTCTGTACATTCAACGGCCTGCATTTAGATTTCAGCACCACAAAGTTTACAAACACGTCACAAAACCGTGAAATGTTGTTATTTTATTGATTCAATTTTATATTATTGCAACGATGACCTGTGACGTCGCCTACGAACAGTGTAACTGGGCTCGTTGAGCGTGCATAAGCTCCTTGCAGGGATCTATTATCTCTACACACAATCATTGAATAAGCCCAGGGATGTCAAGAGTTTTCAATATTTATTGAGGGAACTAGTTTCAGCAGTGCATGAGCACGCGCCCTGGTATTAAACACTGTGTAACACCAGCTCATTGATATCAAACACTGTGTAACACCAGCTCATTGATATCAAACACTGTGTAACACCAGCTCATTGATATCAAACACTGTGTAACACCAGCTCATTGATATCAAACACTGTGTAACACCAGCTCATTGATATCAAACACTGTGTAACACCAGCTCATTGATATTAAACACTGTGTAACACCAGCTCATTGATATCAAACACTGTGTAACACCAGCTCATTGATATCAAACACTGTGTAACACCAGCTCATTGATATTAAACACTGTGTAACACCAGCTCATTGATATCAAACATTGGTATCTTCAGTGGGCGAGTGATAACAATAGGTAGTAAATTACAGCTCACAATTCAACAAAGCAATTATATCCTTGCAATGATTTTATTGTTCTTGAAGACAATCAAATATGCCTTGGAACTCGGGTTTCTGCTTCAAATAATCACTCCGAACATCAGAATAACTCATTCCTCCAAAATAGCCTGTTCCATTTGGCATTATCTGGTCAAGGCTTATAAATGTTTCGGATTCCTTTTCTTGTTTTCTTACTTTGTTCCATCTGGGCTTCGTAAAAAATTCAGTGCACCATGTCCTTTGACTCATTTCTCAAACAAAACAAAGCTTTGCCATTTATTTGCCAGTGACAAGTAAATCCAGTCTCATTCTCATAAGTATGTTATATGACTAGAGTTTAAGAAATTTGATTGTTTGGATGTTTTTATATTAGATGGCGAGACATTCAGCCACCGATGACCAAAGGGATGGCATGAATCTTACTTGGAAATCATGCAGGAAGCGTACGAGCGTAGGCACTGTAAGCCCCTGGTATCCCCAGTATGGTGGTACAACTTTGTTCTCTGTTCTCTGGTGGTCGAATAGGAATAGATGTATTCCTTTTTACGGTATATTTTAAAATGTATCGCTGCAAGGCTGTAATATTGCCGAGGCGATTTAAACTTTTGAAATTAGGAATTATAATGGTATTTATCAAATGAATAAAGGACAGCTAGGGACGGACTATAATATGCTGACATTTGAAGATTCAATTCATGAATACATTAAGAAGGGTCGCACTATTACTAGCCAATATTGTCAATAAGTCAAACTCTCTATTCATGTCAAATATGGCTCTTATAACATGAGACTCGGACTTCTGATCAATAGGATGAATAGCATGCAATAAGTCACAGGATATATTGGGTGTCTATGGTTCTGATGGTCTGGTTACACGTGGCCATCCATAAATACATTCTTGTCTATCGTTCTTGTTTTGAGTGTAGACATGATTTGTAGTATTTACATTAAACATATGCTTAATTGCTTTTATACATGTGCTTCTCATTTTGTCTGGCCATTTACATGAAATTCAAATTATTTCCTAAGATTCGTTGTTTCATTACTGATATCTCAATGCAACATGAACTTGAATACAAAACAAATTTTGTTTTTTGTTCTTGCTGTTTAACTTTCCAATAAACACTGAACACACATTTGACCTTGATCACAACATTGAAATACACATTCAGTATAAAGTGACCAAGTCATCGACCGAAGCGCAGAATCTTCATCTTTGAATTAACTTTGAAATGTTTGTGACAAATCGGCTATTATTCAAAAAAAATTCCGACAAAGTCTACAGTCACTTTGTCAATGTCAATGTCAATGTCAATGTCCTTGTGGATGGGGATAAATTGATGATAAATTGATGATAAATTGAGGTTTACTTATTTTAAGAAATAAGCTGTGTTTTTTTTAAGTGTAAGGAATTGCTTTTCTGCAACAATGGTAGTTCCGCCCCTTGAGGACGTTAAACTGACGTTTTGATATCCCACCTGATACATGCCCCCACAGATAATAATCAGCGCTAAGCTCGTATATTAATATCGCTCCCTCGAGCTTGTGATACCAATTTTATGAAACGAGTGAATAGTTCTGATATCTGACGAGCGAAAGCGAGTCAAGCTTATGAATACAATATTTCACTGTCGTGTGTAAATCGACGACGCGATCCACAGCATAATCCAATTGAATTTAACAGAATAATACTTCAAACACATTAAACGCTGACATGTATAAATTTAATTCATACAACGGCCGACCTTTAGAATTCAGCACCTCAAAGTTTACAAACACGTTAAAATACCCTATAAAATACCCTTGTGAAATGTTGTAAACATTCAGAAACAATGACGTCAGCCGAGCAACTGAGTTGGTGGGGTGATCGAGGGTGCATAATCCCCTCTCAGTGATCTGTCTTTCTCAACACGCAACGTCATTGAAGAAGCCAAGCGATGTTGAGAGTGTTCATTAATGGTTAGTGAAACTAGTTCTGACAGTACAAAAGTAGGCACTTTGCTATTAATAGCTACGTTATACCTGCTTGTTGTTAAACAGTTGTATCGTCAACGGGCGAGTAATAATTATCATTCGTACACATTGTAAAGACGCATTAACGACCTCTTTACACCAGTCTTCCCTGACACTATAACTACGAACAGAGAAAGGAAAAACCGTCACCCGACTGTTGACCCTGATAAATATGCATGTATGGCATACATAGTCAGAAGTGTCATGTATAGATATCAGCTTCAGGTCTAACTTGCCGAGCAAGGCATTGAATACTGTGTAATGTTCATTTGAAATTGTATGATATTTTACAGGAATTCTGTTGTATGAATGACTGGCACATTCAAGCACAGAAGGGTATCAAGGCTGTCACGTGGCCACACATTCCTCAGTGGTATCGGCCATGTAGCACAAGTTACACTGACGAGCTTTAAATTTAAATTAAACTTCTAATTTTGTCAGCAAAACCCCACAACAGGTGACATCCTGTATAGGTAGTTACTGTTCTAGTCAGAATGCAGTGTACTCTATTTGGTTTTCAAAACCATTGATGTGACTGCTTTGTGAAGAAACGAGGAGCTTTTGTAGATACCATTGAGATTCTATTGACACAGTTCCGATACAAACACGTCCTCCTGCATTGACAATGTCCCTCAATGGCCTGTCATATTCATACATCAACTTTCATTGAATCATTCGTCTGCCAGTGTGAGCAGGGAGCATGCCCCGATCATGTTTGAAGTTCCGTGCTCGTGGGTTTCACAAATGTGGGAACCTGCATCACTTCCTTCCACATTAAGCTGATACGCCGTGGAAAACTGGTTAAAGCGTCGTTAAACCTAACTCACTCGCTCACTCACTCGCTCACTCACTCGCTCATTATCACTGTGTGAACCAACACAACACTGATGTCAAGCTCAGTCTGTGCACACATCAAACAATAAATTATGACCAATTTTGATCATCATGTGTTAGTTATCTGGTGCTCCTTTACTCACAAGGAGGTTGACCATCATGGGTTAGTTATCTACTGTGAGCTCCTTTACTCACAAGGAGGTTGACCATCATGGGTTAGTTATCTGGTGCTCCTTTACTCACAAGGAGGTTGACCATCATGGGGAGGTTATCTGCTGTGAGCTCCTTTACTCACAAGGAGGTTGACCATCATGGGTTAGTTATCTGGTGCTCCTTTACTCACAAGGAGGTTGACCATCATGGGGAGGTTATCTGCTGTGAGCCCCTTTACTCACAAGGAGGTTGACCATCATGGGTTAGTTATCTGCTGTGAGCTCCTTTACTCACAAGGAGGTTGACCATCATGGGGAGGTTATCTGCTGTGAGCTCCTTTACTCACAAGGAGGTTGACCATCATGGGTTAGTTATCTGCTGTGAGCTCCTTTACTCACAAGGAGGTTGACCATCATGGGTTAGTTATCTACTGTGAGCTCCTTTACTCACAAGGAGGTTGACCATCATGGGTTAGTTATCTGGTGCTCCTTTACTCACAAGGAGGTTGACCATCATGGGTTAGTTATCTACTGTGAGCTCCTTTACTCACAAGGAGGTTGACCATCATGGGTTAGTTATCTACTGTGAGCTCCTTTACTCACAAGGAGGTTGACCATCATGGGTTAGTTATCTGGTGCTCCTTTACTCACAAGGAGGTTGACCATCATGGGTTAGTTATCTACTGTGAGCTCCTTTACTCACAAGGAGGTTGACCATCATGGGTTAGTTATCTACTGTGAGCTCCTTTACTCACAATGAGGTTGACCATCATGGGTTAGTTATCTACTGTGAGCTCCTTTACTCACAAGGAGGTTGACCATAATGGGGAGGTTATCTGCTGTGAGCTCCTTTACTCACAAGGAGGTTCACCATCATGGGTTAGTTATCTACTGTGGGCTCCTTTACTCACAAGGAGGTTGACCATCATGGGTTAGTTATTTACTGTGAGCTCCTTTACTCACAAGGAGGTTGACCATCTCTCTGTTTCTCTGTACAGTTGCATCCATCACTGCTGTGTTTCCCATCTGGTCTCTACTGTTGATGTCGACAATGTTTTTGGACAGAACATACTTCACAATTTCAAGATTCCGTCCACGACAGGCTAGATGCAGTATGTTCCTCGCCTTAGCATCCGCCAGGGTCAAATCCCCTCCACTTCTCACAATTAAATGAAACACTTCATCATGACCGTGCACCGCTGCCTCCATCACTGGAGTCCTCTCACACACTCCCCTACTGTTGATGTCAAAACGTTTCATCGAGAGGACATACTTGACCATCTCAACATGTCCTCCAACACATGCCCAGTGTAGAATATTGTCACCACCATCATCCACCGACGACATATCTGCTCCTTTGCTGACAAGTAATTGTAACACGTCTGTATGCCTTGTCCATGCTGCATCCATGCTCGGAGTCTTACCATAGTTGCCCTTTCCATTGATGGCCACTCTTGTGGTGTAGGAGAGGATACGCTTTACTATGTCTACACCCCCTCCAACACAAGCCAAGTGAAGGATGCTGTCATGACGGCCATCAACTATATCTACGTCAGCTCCTTTATTCAAAAGAAAGTCCAACACCTTTCTATGTCCCTTCCACGCTGCCAACATCACTGGCGTCCTCTTCAGCATCCCACGAGCGTTGATGTCATGGCCATCAGACAAAATGGTTGTCACACGTTTGAGGTCCCCCGCTAGGCAGGCGTGGTGGAGAGCAGTATTTTTCGAGCCTTGGTCTTTAGAAGGATCCATTGTTCACTTGAAGAGAAATAATCACATCTTATTCATAATTTGTGGGGTTTCGTGATACTTATGAAGCACGACATTCAATAACAGTTAATATCAGCCGCGGGTGGCCCAGTATAAGGCGTCGCAATGTTCGCTGTGCAGAAGGTTCGAATCCAGGATCGCCCTGATTATTTTCTAGGTTTATCAGCACCATGCTCGTGGGCTTCACCAAAGTCTGAAACGTCTGAGACCTGCATCACTTCTGGCTTTCCTTCCTCATTAAGCTGACACGCTGTGATAGAACTGGTATGGTGTTAACAGCGCCTTTAAACCGAATAAATAATGTTCTAGTTCATTCATAATCAGTCGCTATGGGGGGCGGACAAATGTTAAATGCAGTATACAATACGTTTGCCGTGATGGAGGACCTGATTTAATCCTGCATCTCTCCATTTTTTAGTAACAAGTTCAAATAGATTTAATTTGCTGTCAATCGTGATCCATAAAACAATATATATTTATCCTTGTTTGCATGAAGAAAATTCACCTAGCAAGCTGTGTTGAAATGAAATAGATTTCATGTTGTAAAAGTAAATAATAGCGCCAAACCCTTTACACATTCATAAGACATCGCTGCTGAAAGCACGGTTGATTGTACGATTCCGACTCTATCACGAATCACTATCAAGCAGTGATCATACAGTATGACCATACAGTATTTTTTCGTGAAAAAGTGAGCGTGTCATGCCTCACCGGTCACACTTGTCACAAACACATGCACAGGTACGTCAATTGTTTACCTGAAAAACACACAAGCTTCACAAGGACAACCGGTAATGCACTAAGTCGTCTGTAGTTCGAAACAGTATTGCAGTTATATGGCGGCGTGTCAGCTTAATGTGGGAGGAAAGCCCGAAGTGATGCAGGTCTCAGAGGTTTACCACTTCGGTGAAACCCACGAGCATGGGTATGGTACTGTCAAACCTAGAATCATAATCGTGGCGAACCGGGATTCGAACCCACAATCATAGGTTTCTGACGTGCCAAAGGGACAGCGAATCGCGGCGCCTTAGACGACTGGGCCCTCCGTGCCCCCCAGGTTTATGGCGGCGGTCTGTAAATAATCGAGTCTGAACAAGACAATCCAGTGATTGACATCATGAGCATCGATCTACGGGATACGATGACATGCACCAACCAAGTCAGCGAGTCTGACCACCCGATCCGGTTAGTTGCCTCTTACAAGCACACTCGCCTTTTACGACAGGCATGGGAATTGCTGAAGAACTATTGTCTACCCGGATATTCACAGATCTGTTGAAAGGGGCAACCGGATTGGGTGGTCAGGGTATGTGACCTACTGTGTTGGTGTTGTTTTGCTGACGGCGTGAATCGTTGCTAATAATTCCGTCTCAAAATAACCTGGCGCTAACTAAATAATTCAGAGGCAGCCATGATATGTCTGATATAATTCTGCAGCTTTAATTCACATTTAATTCAGTGACATTCACTCACTCAATCATTTGTTTAATATAAATATAAATCAATGAGACAATGTATATGTGGTCTTTTTTCTTTAACCCGGTGTAAAAATATATTTGTATATCTTTTATGACGAAGCAAATGTAATTATATAGTTACAGATGTGTAGCAAAATGTTCACATTTGCGAGGAAAATATTTATAATTCAGAGTGTCCCCTTAAAGTTAGAAACCAAGACAGAAAAGGAGCAATGAAGGCACCCTTGATACCCCCAGTCAAGTCGAACTTAATCCAATAATTGAATAACGATATCATACTTGGCGCTGTTATAGGTGGTCACTGGTATGTTTTTTCCTGTTCTTGCAATGGATATAGGCCTATACGTATTGAAACAAACAAATTGAAACACTGGATATGTTCCCTGTAGTGGGGTCGTGTTATTGCATGAAACGAGAAATGTGCTGCCTTTAAAATAGAACGACTCACCTCTATCGGCATGGATGACTATGCGTTTCTCGTGACACCTAACAAAGTGTTACCTACGGCGCGTGTAAGTGTGGCACACTAACCAGTCAAACAGGTTGTCTTTTCAAATGTTACACTCTCACGTTTTCACATGTCACAAGAGTGAGTATAAAGACAGGTCCAGACTGAACGTACATACATAGATATATGTATGTATCTAAACGTACCATACACACCAAGAAACCTACTTACATTTTGGGAAAGCCTGACTGTACTTGTACATTGTGGCCTTATGCATGGGGTTTCAAACGGTACGTTAAAATTAGGTGCAGCCCCGAATGTCAATGCGTCGGATCGCATCGCATGCAAAATTTGGTTGCAGTGTGATTTCCACCTCAGAAAGATTAGACAGTTGGCTGGCAAGAAATATAAGCGAGTAGGTATAGGGTGTCTTTAAGAAGTCTTTGGTATGTCAATATATGTAGTTGAGTTGAGTTTAACTTACATTATTGGAAACATCCCTTTGACCCGACCTTGACCTGACGTTACACTCACAACAACTTTAGCACTGTTTGCAAGTATACAATTCAGCGGCCATTATTACGCGTGATTTTTGCCTGCCAAACAGGGCCAACCAATGGGTTGCCTATGCGTGTTCTTCATAGGGAGGAGGGACACGGAGTTGCACCCGCGCAGTAGAGACATGGCGCTGAAAACCGCATAAATCGGAGTTGGATCCTGGTGGTGTTGAGGCCTCCTTCTGGTGGTGTTGAGGCCTCCTCCTGGTGGTGTTGAGGCTTCCTCCTGGTGGTGTTGAGGCTTCCTCCTGGTGGTGTTGAGGCCTCCTCCTGGCGGTGTTGAGGCTTCCTCCTGGTGGTGTTGAGGCTTCCTCCTGGTGGTGTTGAGGCCTCCTCCTGGTGGTGTTGAGGCCTCCTCCTGGTGGTGTTGAGGCTTCCTCCTGGTGGTGTTGAGGCCTCCTCCTGGTGGTGGTGAGGCCTCCTCCTGGTGGTGTTGAGGCTTCCTCCTGGTGGTGTTGAGGATTCCTCCTGGTGGTGTTGAGGCTTCCTCCTGGTGGTGTTGAGGCTTCCTCCTGGTGGTGTTGAGGCATCCTCCTGGTGGTGTTGAGGCTTCCTCCTGGTGGTGTTGAGGCCTCCTCCTGGTGGTGTTGAGGCTTCCTCCTGGTGGTGCTGAGGCTTCCTCCTGGTGGTGCTGAGGCTTCCTCCTGGTGGTGCTGAGGCTTCCTCCTGGTGGTGGTGGTGGTGGTGGTGAGGCTTCCTCCTGGTGGTGTTGAGACTTCCTCCTGGTGGTGTTGAGGCTTCCTTCTGGTGGTGGAAAGACGTCATCATTATTTGCATGGTCTGACCAGTAGGACTCCTTTAGAAACCTGAATAACAGAAGCCATCACCGTGACACAGGTGATTGAACAGACTTTGCCTTCTTCGGATGAGGAGACTTTCGACACTTCAACTGCTTTGACTATTGTTTAGTCCCTGGATGATAGGTAGCTCTGAATGCAAAACGTATATATGGTTACAAATCGCTTAACGAAATAAGCTGGGTCTGCTGCGAAACAACATAAATTCTCTCTGAACCTGAAGTGTTTCTTATCAGGAGTCAGAAGCCTTGACCCCACAGCGGCTGAAACTTGTCATGCCCAGTTCATTCCTCAGCATGTTCTCCACCCTCATGAGAGATACCTGCTGTTATTGGCTATGTGACGTGTGGAGAGTCATCGATCATCCATAACCATATACGTATGAACACACAATACCATTTAGAAGTGGCCAAATGTAAAAATGGTTATATTTGGGATAACAATTTCTTGTTAAAGTACAAATTCTCGTACTTTTGTTGGTTGAGTCCCATCCCACTTATAATCCCCACTTGTAACATTCAATACATCAATATCTGTAGTAAACTACAATTCGTTTCTTATACAGAACATGTACAAAGGCACTTTGCTATATCAAAGATCATCTCACCATTATAACTGTTGAACATACTTACCATGTCATGACTAACACAATGTTGAGATGCTCAACAAATGCTGACAAATATTTACTTCTTATCTGTGAGATTATGTGCGCTTCATCTTCAAGTACATGACGTTCTGAGCACACAAACTCGTTCTCTTAATCATTAGACCTGCTTCTTCTCTATACCTGAACACCCAATGCATTGAAACCGCATCTACATTTTAACAGTGCAAATGAGATTTCATTGCAATATCTGTGGCAACTTCTTCATTGCCTCGTGCCAGTGCATTTATTAATAAAGAAGAAGGTTAAAGTTCAACAAAGTTCAAAACACATGGCATAATTCACGTGTAATTACGATTTTTGATTGAATATGTTGAATATATGTTTATTTGTTTAGTCAGGAATTCCAGCAATTGCCTCTCTGGACTGCCATGATCAACTGGTCAGACATTCGTCCCTGTCATGACCCATGTTTTCAAGCATCATACTACTTTAATAGTGTCCGTGAGTTGAATGCACCACAGGCAGAAGTATTCCAACTTTACCACAGCGACCTGTAAATAATCTAGTCTGGCACAGACAAACCAGTGGTTGATATTATGAGCAACGTCCAAGCCACCAACTGAGCCAACTGATAACCGATTCCATTAAGTCTCGTCTTACATCATAGGCTACTGGGAAGATATTCTAACCTCGAATCCCTACATGTGGTTATATCCCCAAAACTGTCTGTTTTAACAATGAGGGGCAAACACAACACAATGCCATACTGGTACACGTATTAACAGTAGTGCTCTCTAAAAGCATAATGGCCATGTGTATTGCTTTTTACATTCAACCATAAGCGAACTAATCTGATGAATAAGTAACTTACACATACGTTGTGACAGATTCTTCAACGACTGGTAGTTGTCCAGGGATTGTTTCTGTACAGACAGTTCTCTTCGCAAAGATGCTACTTCTGAGCTTGTCAAACTGAGAATATTCTATGTCGTGCTGGTATCGGTGATCATGGCTAGCTGAAGTCTCTCGAGTTGTTCCAACATATTCTGTGCCAGCAACTTTGTAGGTCGTAGTTCAATATGTTCTTCCAACTGCTTTTGTCATATTTTTTGGACAAATGATGACGTATTCTGGATAAAACTGCTTGCTTCATACACAGACGACTTTACCTTGTTTAGTTGTTTGCCTAACATCTTGACCTCTGACCGCACTGTATATACCTGTGCCCTGTTTAATTTCAGATCTTCACTCACAATAGACAGGATCGTTTGGTTCAACTGTGTATTAGCTTTACCATGTGTCATTCTGTTGATTTCTGTTTTCGCCTCAATACCTTCATCTGATAACCGAACGTCAGTTTTAATTGCTGCCACTTCATCTTTCAACAAAGACTTTTCTTCAACTGCGATTGTAGTTGCAACTGACTGATCAACAGTTCCTGCTTAGTTATAAGTAGCTCTGCCTGAGTCTGCAGCTGGTTCCCCGTTAGTTGTGGATCTGTTTGTAACCGTCCCGTGGTTGTCTGGAGACTGGTCACTGTCTCCTCAAGCTGGGAGACGGCGCTGACGAGGCTTGACAGATCCACAGCGCCATCGGGCTTCACCATGGGCAAAATGAGTCCGGCGAGAGACCTACTCAGCAAAACACATAGACACAGAACAGCAACATACATTTGATGTTGACCTGGTAGGTTTGTCAGCAGTTCACTGATCACAGCCGTTTTCTTTATCAATTTGTACAACCACGTGGGTGTCGTGTCTACAACGAGATTATGAAAATGACACTCCTAAGTCAGACACAATTGGAGCATGTGTGAGAAATTAAATCACACCTTGTATCATGAATGCAATCTCAATTTGATTTGTATAGTTTAAACATATTCTATTCAGATTGAAATGGATTGGGAACAAGTTATCCAACTTAGGACTCCCTATCCATGGTATTTACAGAAGCTTGTACAGTAAGTCATATACAGGGAAAACAGAAAAGAAGATGAGTGTTTAGCTAACAAAAGAAATGTACCAAAGAGAGAGACTAGTATATTTACACTAAAGTGTTACCCAAATCTCTTTGTATGACTTAAAACATTTGCACTGCCTTAAAGATATATTGATTTTCGATAATGGACAAACATTCATTTCCCTTTAACATCAAACTTAAATCTAATTTAACATTTTTATCCACGGTGTTCTGCAAAATGTCTCGAATTATTATTAACATAGATTTTCTTTGGTGGACACTCTAATCAATAATGAAATGCGTTTTCACATGGATTACCACATTGACATATTGGATCACATTTCATCTCTATTCTGCAGAAATCATAATTTAACTGGCTTTTCATGTATCTTAATCGAGTATGATAAATATTCAACTTTCTAACACCATAGGAAAAATATGGAGGGGCAATAACTTGCTCTTTTTGTATGTTTGACTTGAATTGGGATGCAGATGTACAATTTCTACCTGCTGCAGGAATAGTGTTCCATAACCTTACAGTTGATGGATTGTATTGAGTTTGATTTGTATTCACCAAACCTACTAGTAACACCTCACCGTGCAATGAAAAATGAAAGTCGAGAGGAGCTCCATTGAGCTACTATTCAAGTAACCGTCATGCAAATTGTTGTGTTTACACGGTTTCATCGCTACAAAGTAGTGCAACACTAATAAACTGAAACTGTATTCAAAATCCTCTTATCCAAGAAAGGTTTCCCACTTTTGAGAACATCTACGTTTCCAAAATGATATGGCAAGGGCCACAACAGACTAATTCTCAGTGCCTGGTTTCGATCTAGATCCATGGGGTTTGCGCAAGTTACTTGTCCCTGTTGAACGAACAGGAGGAGGGATGGACAAAAGGACCGACAAACCGACAGACGGCACCCAAGGCTCTATATCTCCGTGTGGCTCGGGGTAATGAACAAAACGTATAATGTGCAATATGAATCCAATGAACTATACATCTTTATTTGCTTGCATTATACTAACCTTTTATAGATCGTATTACCTTATCTATTTACGTAGGTGTATTTAGTGAGTGAGCGAGTGAGTATGGTTTTACGCCGCTTTTAGCAATATTCTAGCAATATCACGGCGGGGAACACCAAAAATGGGCTTCACACATTGTACCCATGTCGGGAATCGAACCCGGGTCTTCGGCGATACGAGTGAACGCTTTAACCACTAGGCTACCCCACCGCCCCAGGTCACACCCCAAGACACTGTCCAGGTAAATATTACAGTTACACAGCATTGAACCACCTGGTTTGTTTTCAGTAGTCATTATATTGCAAGAGGGAATGCGTCAAAGTGCAAATAAAAATAAATTTTGAAAGATTTTAGTTCAAATAATGTTCGGTTCCAAAGTGAATGAGTAATGTTTGTCGCGATCGTGGTCATATTGAACTTTCATCCATGTGTGCACATTCAAGCATGCATCGTTGACAAAATATTATGCACGTTTGTTTTACCAAAATGTCTGTTACTTTGTTGAATATTCACGTCATATAGCAGGATTATTGCTAAGTGCGGCGTTAAACAACAAACAATCAACCACCTGCCAGTATATGAGAACACCCCTGATCTTGATGATTGCCTGCTGACTCTGTCTCACTGTCAGTGTTACAATATGATGAACCACAAATGCCACGCTCGCCATGGCTAATGTCTGGCTTCCATCCCCACAAAGTGTCCCCGCCATATGGCTGAATATCATCACTCACTCACAACGGAAATTATATCAACCTGATTTAAGAGCAGTTGCAGAAGAACTTTTTCCAAACAATAGATCTACATCATCTCCCACCCGGGAAGATCCGGGTCAGATTCGACCTTCAGCAACCCATGCTTGTCTGTACAGGTGAATGAAGTAGTAAGCAGATACTCCAAAACGTTTTGTCCTCATAATAAAGAGGTTGACATTCATATATTCTCTTCCTAATGTGTATCACTTCTTAATGCCTTCAAAGACATGTTAGATTCAATCCATTTCCGTCTCAGTTTAGACGGATTAACGTCTTTAGGTGTTTAACGTAGTCTTTTTTTAAAACTGAGGAGCAAAAGACGCTATACATCTCAGTTGATTTTTATCATACGTTTCAGTTTTAGTTGAAAATAGATTAAGTTAAGGATATTATGTCCAAAGAGGAAACTTTACTAGCGCTTAGTCGGCACTCAAGAATACTACCACATGGTTTTATAATTTTTAATATTATTTTGATTTAAAACTGTTAAACAAATTACAAATAGCATAATGCACAGCTGCTGATGGGTATCTTAGACATCTTATCTTTGAAAAATAAATTTTAAAAAATTTAGGCACACATTTATTACATTTCAATCATGGTAGTTGTCATGTAGTTGCAAACAAAGGAATGAGAGATGGTTAAATAGACACAATCAAATTTAACAACTTTCAATTTTAAATTACACAAAAGGCAAACTCGGTATACTTACTTTTGTCCCCCAGTTCATTAGGTTTAAATCGGGTCATACAAAGTGGATTTCCCCATGAGGCTAGGAAAACTGTGCCGAAATGTGGAATACACATATGTCGAATTAGAGAAAGATTTCTACATGATAACATATAAGGGTTGTGCTGTGACCAAAGGTTTTGTTGGATTTGGCAGAATGTCGGCTCTACTCTATGTGATATGTCACAAGATGTCTTGCTGTCCTTTTTTGCAGGTTTTTGGGTGACATATTTATTCTCATCATAATAACCCTGATAACAACACCTTTTGTGGGAAAGTTATCAAATTATTTTGATGTGAGTGTGCGAACAAGTTTAACTCCGCTTTGAACAGTACTTATCACGGCAAGTCATCTTGATTGGAGAGGAAAGCCTGAAATGAGGCAGTTTTCAGATGTTAACCACTTTGTGTAGAAATTCACAGAAATCGTTGCTGAAAATCGACTGAATAACAGGAAGCGTTGTTGATGAATGATTTGTAAATCCTGAACACCTTCTTGTAAATTACGGAAAGATGCGAGTTGTGACGAAGAGCGAGTGAGAGAATTAAGGGGACATAACTCTGTTGAACATGAACTGTACATATTGTTCCATGAAGATCCTCCCAAGTTTTTTAGAAAAGTACATTTGACAATACATTTGTCATGCTAATCAGCTGTTTGACCAGATGGTCAACTCCTATTGAATAACAGTTTAAAAAGTATTGTGCTGATGAACGTCCATTGAGAGCACTAGTCAGTGAAACGTAAAAGTACGTAATGTTGGTGGGTGGGTGTTTTGGGGTTAAATGCATTAAGGCTGTGGATATGTACGTATGGATATTATTTAATGCCACCTTTTGCAATATTCTAGCAATATCTCGGCGGGGGACACCGGAACATCTTAGTTTGACTTTTACACTTGCTTCAACATACGACATTCGTCCCGGCGAGGCGGTCAACAAATCAATTGTTAGTCACATAGCAGCAAATGTTATTGTGTTTTGAAACCTGTGGTTCGTCTCCTGCATTTAAACCATACCAGGGTCAGTGAGTTTTACCAAAGTGGCAAAGTCTAAGGTCTAAGTTTCCCTCCACTTCGACCTTTCCTCCAACGTTAAACTGTCACGCAGTTATATAACTGAAATACGTTCACTGCACACTCACTCACTCATTCTGATTGACCTTTTGAAACCAAGTATATCCAAAGCTACGGTGCCACAGTGGGATGGGTGTGTGAGCTTTACCCCGCTTTATGCAATATTCAAACCGTATCACAGCGGGGGACACCAAGACTTGGCTTGTCACATAACACCCATCCTGGAATAGAACCTTCTGCATGCGAACCAACACTGTTACCACTGAGCTATCCCACTGCAACCACACAGAACAGATATTGACAACACGACGTCATCCTTCTTACACAACGGACAAATTTATTTACAACAGACAAAGATTTTCTACCATGATACAAAACACTGTACACTGCACAGAACATAAATATCATCAATATTATCTGTTTGCAAGCAATAAAACTATTGTTATACTAGTCGTGAGGACAGTATTATATGTGTACATAACGGCAGACGACAACACAGGAATGGTGACTATTTTCTCATCAAGGAGCTCCGAGTCTATCCAGTCATGAACTTCCTCCTGTAGAATGTCAAGGGGGACGCTCCCGAGCTTCAAGACCACATGATGAAAGTCCCGGATGTTGAACTTCCGGCCTAGACAGAAATAAATATGAACATATTACAGATGTCTCAAATGTTGGATTCAAGAGTAGACAAACCAGTGAGTGATAGCATGATCACCGATCCCGACAAGCCGTCTGGGTACGCTGAAACAGGTCAGGTTACACATCGTGACCCGCCAAACCCCCTGGTTGTTGTGATTTTGCCAAATGTCAAAACACTCTTACAGTTGGTTGTTTGGTTGTTGTGTTGTTAAACGTCGCACCCAGCAATATTCCAGCTGTATGACGGCGGTCTGTAAATAATCGAATCTGGACCAGACAATCCAGTGATTGATATCTTGAGCATCGATCCACGCAATTGGGATCGATAACATGCATCAACCAAGTCAGCGAGCCTGACCACCCGATCCCGTTAGTCGCCTCTTACGACAAGCATGGTCGCCTTTTGCGGCAAGCATGGGTTGCTGAAGAGCTATTCTAACCCGGATCTTCATTGGTCCACTTTTACAGGACATCATTGAGCGACACCCAAAGGTTGGAAGATCCAAAGTAACACATGACCTTATTACGTAACAATGGATTTTCCTTTCTGTAAAGGACACCAGTGTCAATACTACCAGTTACATGTAGGTCTTGCGCATAGACAAGAAAAATATGCACCTAAAACAGCTAAACAGTATAAGCCTCTTTAGTGCTTCTTGACAAGCCTCAACACATTTCCAACGTAAAGGATGCCTTTCTATTTTGGATAAATATGTCTGCAGAGTGACAAGCATTGTTTTCCATGATTTGACTTAGGAAAATTACCAGGCATATATCAAACTAGCCACATCTTATGTGGGCGCCATTCCTTTCGGTCCAGACACTTACCGAGCCTCGTTTCCGCTTCCTGTCTCAATTTCTTTATTTTGATCTCCCCAACCTTGTAGGAGCAGGCTTGGCCTGGCCACGTGATGTATCGGTCAACCTCGGACTGGATCTGACTGTCTGGAAAGTCGCTGTAATTCGTCAGGAAGCGAATTGCACGATCACGTGACCATCTGTAGAACATAAAAGGTTTATATTACTTCCACAAGCGAACAGGAATAAAACAGTTCAATGCCCCGCCAAACCTGCCGCTAATGTGTATGTTTCTAACGAATCGACATATTCCAGAGGCAATCACTTTTATAGTCAGTTAACTCCCTTGCCCATTATGCAGAAGAATTATGTTCTCCGATGGTGTTAAACTATGTATGTTTCTAACGAATCGACATATTCCAGAGGCAATCACTTTTATAGTCAGTTAACTCCCTTGCCCATTATGCAGAAGAATTATGTTCTCCGATGGTGTTAAACTATTCGACGAGCAAAGTGGGGATTCAATTTAAGAACTGGTCCGCAGTTACGCTTGCTTGTCGTGGGAGTCTACGAGGTTAATTCAGGTGAGTCAGAATCTGTGACTTAACTGGTGGTGTTCATCTTTTAATCAATAGTTTGCCTGGCCCAGAATGACATAATTTTAAGCGGTATTCTTTGCCAGGCAAACCAGTGCTTCGTGGCATGATAAACGATGCATGCCTTCAGAGTACGACGAAACACAATCTGTCACCTACACAATGGAACAACCCTGCCCCCAGTAGGGCGAGTTACCAATAAAAGCGCCCCTTCAAACTTATGGAGCAACATATTGTCATCTTCCTCAGAGGTTTGACTAAAAGGACAAAGGCACATTTTACCTGGGCTGCACGTTTTAAGCCCTCTCGTTATTTAGCCCATGGGCTTAAAAGGAGAAAAATATAACCCTTTTTTGCCCATGGGATTAAAATAAATTGAAACATTGATTGATCTCCATTGCCGGATTTTCTTAACAAGTGTTGTACCACGCTTCTACATATATGGTCAGTTTGCATCTATACTGCCCTCAAGCTCTCTTAGAGGTTTCCACATTCACAAGCCACATTGGACCCCTCATGCAGGCGCATTCTGGAGACTCAGTGGGAAACTTTAAACGCACAGGACAGATACGCATAACTACGATATTGTTTTGTTGTTACTTTTTTTTCATCTGTCATTTCAATTTTGAACGCAGTCTTGTTGAAAACGAAACTCATGTCAGTTTTTCTCATTCCATTTGTGGGTATTGTTTCATTACACTTGGGGTATTCATTCTTTCTCTCATGCTTTTGTCCTTTTTCGTTTTTAAGCACTGGGCTTAAATTTGAACTCAATCAAAACCGGCAAAATCCTTAATTAAGCCGAGGGCTTAAAAACGTGAAGTCCAGGTATGTCATCTCTCACCTTGACGAGTGATGCCAACGATAAAGACTTGCTCTACTGTCGGACAAACGTCCATACAGTTCACCAGGGAGTGAAACGTCCGTAAAATATACATATTGTCATTATATTTTTAGTGAGTGAGTGAGTTTGATTTTACGCCGCCTTTAGCAATATTCCAGCAATATCACGGCGGGGGACACCAGACATGAGCTTCACACATTGTACCCATGTCGGGAATCGAACCGGGTTTTCGGCGTGATGAGCGAACGTTTTAACCACAAGGCTACCCGACTTCCCTTACATTTTTAGCAATTTTGTACACGCAGCATGGCTGTGGATATTTACGAGTGAGTATTGCGTTATGCCGTCCTTCGAAATATAACATTAATATCACGAAAGGGACACCAGAAATAGTGAAATCAAATACAGTCGATTCACCGGAATGTCTGGGTAAACAGAGTTAAGTACTGACTAAGGGACAACTTCGGCCAAAAGGAAGTCTCTTTCCGGGTTATTTCAAACAAATTAAAGAAAACGAGTTATCCCCGTGAATATACACAAGTTCCACGAGGAAATCGTCCTGAAGAGTTTCTGGCTTGATGGGTTCCACTGTATGAGTGTCACTACACAGCTGTCAACTCACCCAAACGCGTGAATGCCAGTATCCACTACAAGACGACAGGCACGGAATATCTCGGAACAATATCTGCCAAAGCTGAAAGTAAGAAGAAAAGTTAATTAGAAACCAAATTGGAACTCCCACATAGGAGATTATAATAACGCCTAAATGTAACACTACGTCCGTACAAGGAATCAGGTGTATGTGGATGGTGTTTAATGTCGCTGTACCCAATATTCCAGCCGTACCACGCCGCTCTTGAAATAATCGAATCATGACGAGACAAACCAGTGATTGCTATTATGAACAGCGTCCCACGCCCTCGCGGTACGACAAGATCCTCATAAGTCGATCCTCATGAGGGCGGGTATAAAAGATACATTCTGTCCCGAAATCCACAATAGGCACTATAGGCAAACAATGTATTTTCTCTTAGAAAGTTTTGGAGGGTATGGCCTCTGGCCATAATTCGATAATAAAGTCCGTATGTCAAATAGCCACATGTTGCATGGCGATTAATTGCATCTCTGTATGACACGTTTTTATTTTGCAATGTATCATTTCAGGGGAGATAACTCCGATAGCCTTATGGCATGGATTGAATGCGTTGTTTGAGAGGAGCCACGATGAACAGTTCAACAAGGAGGTCGTGGAGTTAGGTATGTTTTGTTACAGGAGACACCCAGAAGTAATCACGCTACATCCCACCGGCCTTTTACTATTAAACGAATCTGGACAGACACACCAGTGACTGATATTATGAGCAACATCCCACGCCTTTGCAGAACGATGACAGACAGTCAGGCATCCGGCAATCAACCAAGTCAACGATCCAATTAAGTCGCCTCTGAGGACAAGTCCTGGGTACGTTTTATAACTGGATCCCCACCAGGTTGTCGTGAGGGCGGGGGGGGGGGGGGGGGGGGGGGGGGGGGCATGGGCGGATACACCTTTTTTGAAAAGGGAGGGTGCACAATTAAGATCTATTTATTGTCTTTGGTGGTAATTTATACAGAAATAAAGATTTTTTTCGAAATTAAAAGGGGGGGTGCCCCCCCCCCCTCTGTATCCGCCCACGCAATATTCCAGCTAAATGAACTGAAATTATTCCAGCTTTATGAAGGTTGGAGTCTGGCCAAGACAATCCAGTGGTTGATATCATGAGCATCAATCCACGCAATTAGGATACGATGACGTGCATCAACCAAGTCAGCGAGCCTGACCACCCGATCCCGTTAGTCGCCCCTGATGACAAGCATGGGCTGCTGAATACCTATTCCAACCCGAAACAGCGTGGGTCGAAACTGAACTGCACTAAATTGGATAGTGTATATACGTTAAAGATATTGATAACATTGACCTCCGCGACCAGGGTAGGATGACACACTCATGAAGTCAGACCATTGGCTAATGGTGGCTCTGTAAAGATCAGGTCGCCACGAAGATGTCGCTGCGCAATGCGTGTCGGTTTCCATACAGATAATCATCAAAAGATTCTGAAATGGTGTCATTTTCATCTGACCCTGTGTCATGGCTCTAGGTTTTATTAAATGTATTGAGCATGACTTTGAAGAGATAATTAGTTTGAACTTACAGATCATAGGGCGAGTCGTACAAGCCCATCTCCTCTCCGAGGTATTCAGCATAGAGCGCCCAGCCCTGCAACAAAGAACATGGTCACAGGTCTCACTCATGTCTGTAAATTACTTGCAGCAGGAAAGCACCACAGTGCCCATGAGTGTCGTTGGACCAGAGGAGAAAGTTTGATAGATTAACTGTTTGTTTGTTGTTTAACGCCGCACTTATCAATATTCCAACTATATGACGGCAGTCTGTAAATAATCGAGTCTGAACCATACAATCCAGTGATTGACATCATGAGCATCGATCTACGCAATTGGGATACGATGACATGCATCAACCAAGCCAGCGATCCCCTTAGTCGCCTTTTACAACAAGCATAATCGCCTTTTACGGCAAGCATGGGTCGCTGAAGACCTATTCTACCCCGGATCTTCATGGGTCGCTAGACCGACTGACTTTTTATGGCCACAATGAGCAATAACAGTTGATGTATCGTGGCCGCCTGTAAGTAACCCAGTCCGGGACAGACAAACCAGCGGTCGATGACATAAGCTACGATCCACCTAGGTAACCACCCGATCCTCATTCCTGCCTGTTCTGATCCGGGATACAAACGAAAACTTGCTAAAGTGTAACTTATATCAGATTAATACGTCTCCTATATATTTTAATAAAAACGATGAATTTCGAAAAAAAATGCGTTTCTGACAGTCTATCAACTCCTTGTTTAGAGCACCGATTACTACAAATGTACTACAGTGTGGAACTCACCTCTGCGTATGCGCTGTATATGGGGAAATGGAATGGTACCGAGTACAGTTTACTGTTGAGTGTCTCCCCCCTGTAGTCAGGGATGCCATGCAGGCTGGAGTAGGCGTCCTGGAAGTGATGCCCCGGGTCCGTCTCGTGCAGCGCAAGCGGCAGCATCATGAACGTCGATCTACAATGACGAGTATGACAACATCAGTTACACACCATTGCATCTGCAATCATTGACAATGCTTTCTCAAAACTTCTTGGTTAACGGTCTTTGTGAAATGTCCTCACATATCAACACATCAGCAGAATAAGAGGCGGCATGGGCAGCATCTGTTGTCAGCTTTGATTGTTTTCAAAGCCATTATAACCTCCAGTCTTGCTGTTTAATCTAAACTGCCGGGGTGAACAAATTATACACTCATGTCAAATGTTGGCACAAAGAGAATCAAGCATATGTGGTGTTGGTATCGCATGTAGTCCGGACGTGACGCAACATAGCGTCATGTCTAGTACATAGTATAGTATGAATGTGACACTACATAGCGTCATGTCTAGTACATAGTATAGTATGAATGTGACACTACATAGCGTCATGTCTAGTACATAGTATAGTATGAATGTGACACTACATAGCGTCATGTCTAGTACATAGTATAGTATGAATGTGACACTACATAGCGTCATGTCTAGGACATAGTAAAGTATGAAAGTGACACTACATAGCGTCATGTCTAGAACATAGTATAGTATGAATGTGACACTACATAGCGTCATGTCTAGTACATAGTATAGTATGAAAGTGACACTACGTAGCGTCATGTCTAGTACATAGTATAGTATGAATGTGACACTACATAGCGTCATGTCTAGTACATAGTATAGTATGAATGTGACACTACATAGCGTCATGTCTAGTACATAGTATAGTATGAATGTGACACTACATAGCGTCATGTCTAGTACATAGTATAGTATGAATGTGACACTACATAGCGTCATGTCTAGTACATAGTTTAGTATGAATGTGACACTACATAGCGTCATGTCTAGGACATAGTATAGTATGAATGTGACACTACATTGCGTCATGTCTAGTACATAGTATAGTATGAATGTGACACTACATAGCGTCATGTCTAGTACATAGTATAGTATGAATGTGACACTACATAGCGTCATGTCTAGTACATAGTATAGTATGAATGTGACACTACATAGCGTCATGTCTAGTACATAGTAAAGTATGAAAGTGACACTACATAGCGTCATTTCTAGGACATAGTATAGTATGAATGTGACATTACATAGCGTCATGTCTAGTACATAGTATAGTATGAATGTGACACTACATAGCGTCATGTCTAGGACATGGTATAGTATGAAAGTGACACTACATAGCGTCATGTCTAGGACATAGTATAGTATGAATGTGACACTACATAGCGTCATGTCTAGGACATAGTATAGTATGAATGTGACACTACATAGCGTCATGTCTAGTACATAGTATAGTATGAATGTGACACTACATAGCGTCATGTCTAGTACATAGTATAGTATGAATGTGACACTACATAGCGTCATGTCTAGTACATAGTATAGTATGAATGTGACACTACATAGCGTCATGTCTAGTACATAGTATAGTATGAATGTGACACTACATAGCGTCATGTCTAGTACATAGTATAGTATGAATGTGACACTACATAGCGTCATGTCTAGTACATAGTATAGTATGAATGTGACACTACATAGCGTCATGTCTAGTACATAGTATAGTATGAATGTGACACTACATAGCGTCATGTCTAGTACATAGTATAGTATGAATGTGACACTACATAGCGTCATGTCTAGTACATAGTTTAGTATGAATGTGACACTACATAGCGTCATGTCTAGTACATAGTATAGTATGAATGTGACATTACATAGCGTCATGTCTAGGACATAGTGTAGTAAACACGAAGCATAACCATCTTACCGTTTCTGAGGTTCTTTGAGGTTGGCGTAGAAGACATTCTGCCCGTACGATCCCCACGGGCCGTCTGTGTCAACAGGCACGATGCTGAAACAGAACAGGTTTTATGTAAGCCAGGTCCTTTTGTGAAACCAACCGTTATATCACCCGCAATTATCCTACCGTATATCATTTCTAATAAACGCAAATATTTGGTCATACATTGTCAAAGTGCCTGGCCTATAATACGCGCATATGAGAAGTCAACACGTGCATTGGTCTAAATCAAAAGACAATCCCACTATATAACTTCTCAGTATACGGCTCTTTCCCTTTTCCAATGAACATTTTCACAGCAATTTCAAACTTTCAAAGTTTCCTCAATCTCATTAAAATCAGATCTTAGTTCTCGCTGCCGCTGCACAAAGATCTGAGGACATCCCATTATACGGGTCACGACCTTTCGCGAACTCTGACCGACCAATGGAATTACTGACAAGAAGTCGACATTAACCTATCAAAAGGCAGATTTCTCGTGCTTTACAGAACTAATTTCAAATTGGCGACTACGCTTCGAAACATATTTTGACAAATTCTCGCTTAAAAATTTGAAAACTGAACAAAAGAACATTCTCGAAGGGCTTATATATGGTCTAGATTGTATAGATTCAGTCGTTAAGCCCGTAACTATCGTTCGGAATACTCCGTTTTAAAGTTTTCGAGGCTGCATGATTAGAAATCACATTCCGACACTTTCATGATCTGCTAAGCGACGCTCTCATTGGTCGGATGAAAGGTCGTTCTGACGTGACCCCTAATGGGATGTCCTCAGATCTTTGTTTAGCGGTAGCGAGAACTAGGATCTGATTTTAATGAGATTGAAGTTTCCTTAAATATATCCAAACAATAAAACTTCATGTATATCTTGTAACACTGAGCCAACCATATAATTAAGTATTACTAAGAAACAAATGATATCGTTTCCCCATCAGAACAATAGAAGTACTAGGCTCCATATCAGGGCGTGCTACCTGATTCACCACGGTACAGATCTGCCGAGCATGATGGACGACGACGTCACTGTTCGGAGCTATTGCATTACTCACGTGAGAGCCGGAAGCGATATGTTTCTGAACATAAACTGTAGCCGAGGCAGAATCTTCTTTGTGATGAGGAAGTGATATCGATGTAGCAGCTCCTCCTGTGAAGAAACAATCAAAAATAGAACAATATCTTTCTTTACCTAATTTTAGATATATGTACGACAGTGTAAGTGAGAGATTGTTGCATGATGTGACTTTTAGGAGTGAAACATTAAGTTCGTTGAAGGATTCAAATCTAAAATTATTTGTGCAAATATTTTGGTTAGCACTAAGAATAACACAGTGAAACACGGTGTTTTCCGAAAAGAAAAACATGTTTGTTTGTCGGTTTGTTCCTTAAAGCCGCACGCAGCAACATTCCAGCAGTTTGTTGGTTTGTTTTTTGTTTAACGCCGCACTCAGCAATACTCCAGCTATACGGCGGAGGTCTGTAAATAATCGAGTTTGGACAATCCAGTGATTGACATCATGAGCATCGATCACGCAATTGGGATACGATGACATGCTTCAACCAAGTCAGCGAGCTTGACCACCCGATCGCGTTATTCAACTCTTACGACAAGCATAGTCGCCGTTTATGGCAAGTATGGGTTGCTGAAGACCTACTCTACCCCATATCTTCACGGGTCAGGTCCACTTGAAAACTATTATGAATATCACTTGATCAACTTCAACACTAATATGAATACCTCTAGGAACTCCACTAGGAACACCAATATGAATACCACCAGGAACTCCACTAGGAACACCATTATGAATACCACTAGGAACTCCACTAGGAACACCAATATGAATACCACTAGGAACTCCACTAGGAACACCATTATGAATACCACTAGGAACTCCACTAGGAACACCATTATGAATACCACTAGGAACTCCACTAGGAACACCAATATGAATACCAGTAGGAGCACCACTGGGGCCATCACTACAAGCACAACGATAAACACCAGTATTAACCAAAATTGGTCAACGACGACGGCTTTCGAAATCAGTTTTCAAAGCGGCGTTAACCCGTGCCGTGTGTGGATTTCAGGATAAATATCCTTCATGACATGGCCCCGGCATATCTCAGAACTGTGTCTCATTCTTCACTGCACGCCACAGTCACATCTCATGTCACTGTTCTATGGAGAGAAAAAAACTCCACGAAAGTCCATTTTCATTTCATATTCTCATTTCTTTTTGTATCTTCGAACGATATATCAATCATTTACAGCCACTGAATATTGGACATTAGTGACATAAAAGATTTGATTTCCAGGAACATGTGACATCTTAATGGAAAAAATAAACATCACACACGTCGGAAGAAGAAATATTATGAAGTAGTTCTTCAAATGCGAGCCGTGTGGCTTATCAATAACTATGGATATCACAAAATAATCAACAGGATTACAAGCCACGGTTATTATATATAACAATAACCCATGCCATTCAGCCCGCAATATTAGATCGAAGTGCCTTGAAAGACACGTGCGTCACACAGTGTCTGGCTATGTCAGCGTCCCCAGTTTTCTATATGAGATATTCACCAAATATTTTGCCATCATCGTGAAATCACTTAATGATCGAGATCACAGGCTGTCATTGAAAACATTTTAGATAGTTATGGACCTCTTCTGTCTGACTCGGGGACACGTACATTATACCAGGAATATTAGATGTGGTTTGTGAGGCGCCGCGCAGTAGTCCATACACCAGATAATTGTATGATTGAATGGCTCTTCCAATAACGTCTATGGCAGGTATTTATCGCCCTGCAATGAACGACTGCTGTGAAATAACCGGCGGGCAAATGTCAAGATAGATAGATTGTGATAAGAGATTCCCCTTCGCTATGCACACAAATCTAATGACTTCATTTCATGTAGTTTAAATTAAAGTACGAACCTTGTTAATATTACGGTGCGAAAATCATGAATGATGAGATTACAACGATTTTAAATCTGAATGACTTAACACGAAAGATGGGTTTCCAGAATATCAATAATTTCAGTTAACAATTCGTGATAGAGATGGTAATGTAACTGAATCCCAAGTTGATTATAATCTAGACGAGTGGTTCTGCAGAAGGGTGGATAATAATCAAACATAGTAATTGTTCAAGCATGGACCAGTCCGATGACCCACTATTTGATGATGTATGACTAGCACAGAGGTACAAATCTATGGAATAAGTACACATTCCAATAGACACACAATTTACAAAGACACAATCCCCTTTAAGTTTGCCTCGTAATGATAAGAACCCGGCACATGTTCATTGGAATCAAACACAGTAAATAACGCAGACAGCAACACATAGTTACATCTGCGTGATTTACCTTTTATGTCCGACAGACGATTGGCAACATCCTTCCCTAAATCCATGCCTACGGTGTGTAGCCTGGCTGTGTTGTCAATGTGGATCAGGTGGTTATCGTGTGTAGCCTGGCTGTGTGTCAGCGTGGATCGGGTGGTTATTGTGTGTAGCCTGGCTGTGTGTCACCGTGGATCAGGTGGTTATGGTGTGTAGCCTGGCTGTGTGTCACCGTGGATCGGGTGGTTATGGTGTGTAGCCTGGCTGTGTGTCACCGTGGATCAGGTGGTTATGGTGTGTAGCCTGGCTGTGTGTCACCGTGGATCGGGTGGTTATGGTGTGTAGCCTGGCTGTGTGTCACCGTGGATCGGGTGGTTATGGTGTGTAGCCTGGCTGTGTGTCACCGACGATCGGGTGATTATTGTGTGAAGCCTGGCTTTGTGGCCTTGCTGTGTGTCACCGTGGATCAGGTGGTTATTGTGTGTAGCCTGGCTGTGTGTCACCGTGGATCAGGTGGTTATTGTGTGTAGCCTGGCTGTGTAGCCTGGCAGTGTGTCACCGTGGATCGGGTGGTTATTGTGTGAAGCCTGGCAGTGTGTCACCGTGGATCGGGTGGTTATTGTGTGTAGCCTAGCTGTGTGTCACCGTGGAACGGGTGGTTATTGTGTGTAGCCTGGCTGTGTGTCACCGTGGATCGGGTGGTTATTGTGTGTAGCCTAGCTGTGTGTCACCGTGGAACGGGTGGTTATTGTGTGTAGCCTGGCAGTGTGTCACCGTGGATCGGGTGGTTATTGTGTGTAGCCTAGCTGTGTGTCACCGTGGAACGGGTGGTTATTGTGTGTAGCCTGGCTGTGTGTCACCGTGGATCAGGTGGTTATGTTGTGTAGCCTGGCTGTGTGTCACCGTGGATCAGGTGGTTATGTTGTGTAGCCTGGCTGTGTGTCAGCGTGGATCGGGTGGTTATGTTGTGTAGCCTGGCTGTGTAGCCTGGCTGTGTGTCACCGTGGATCAGGTGGTTATGTTGTGTAGCCTGGCTGTGTGTCACCGTGGATCAGGTGGTTATGTTGAGTAGCCTGGCTGTGTGTCACCGTGGATCAGGTGGTTATTGTGTGTAGCCTGGCTGTGTACCATCGCACCCACAGGCCGGGCCAACACACAGCCACACTTGACATACCACAGCTAGCACTTGACATACCACAGCCAGCACTTGACATACCACAGCCAGCACTTGACATATCACAGCCACACATGACATACCACAGCTAGCACTTGACATACCACAGCCAGCACTTGACATACCACAGCCAGCACTTGACATATCACAGCCACACATGACATACCACAGCTAGCACTTGACATACCACAGCCAGCACTTGACATATCACAGCCACACATGACATACCACAGCTAGCACTTGACATACCACAGCCAGCACTTGACATACCACAGCCACACATGACATACCACAGCTAGCACTTGACATACCACAGCCAGCACTTGACATATCACAGCCACACATGACATACCACAGCTAGCACTTGACATACCACAGCCAGCACTTGGCATATCACAGCCACACATGACATACCACAGCTAGCACTTGACATACCACAGCCAGCACTTGGCATATCACAGCCACACATGACATATCACAGCCACACATGACATTCAACAGCCACACTTGACATACCACAGCTAGCACTTGACATACCACAGCCAGCACTTGACATACCACAGCCAGCACTTGACATACCACAGCCAGCACTTGGCATATCACAGCCACACATGACATACCACAGCCACACATGACATTCAACAGCCACACTTGACATACCACAGATGGCACTTGACATACCACAGCCAGCACTTGACATTCCACAGCCAGCACTTGACATACCACAGCCACACATGGCATACCACAACCAGCACTTGACATACCACAGCCAGCACTTGACATACCACAGCCAGCAGTTGACATACCACAGCCACACTTGACATTCCACAGCAAGCACTCGATAAAGGACCGTTGAACGATACATTACAGCTTTACAAACATAGAGATACTAACCTTTGTGTGATTATAAAACTTTGGAATGTATTTGACGTACTGAAAGAAAGACTTTAAGTCACCATGGAAATCGACGCTCTCCATCACCTGAAAAAAGGGAAAAAATAATTTACAAGCAAATCGATCTGAAGGTGGAGCTTTTCACTTATTAAGCTGAGGTGAAAACAACTAAGAAACATTTCCTTTCACTCAAGTAAACCAAGTGATTCATCCAACATAAATTAGGTTGCTGGAACATAGTGTGTGTGTGAGTGAGTGTACAGTATTTCAGGTACATCCCGGCATGTCCCCTTGATTTGGGAGGAGGTGAGGTGAAATGGGGTTTAACGTCGCGTCCAAGATTATTGCACTTACCATGACGCAGTTTAACATGAATATCCCGCTCAGACACAGTATACCAGTCCTTGTTTTAGCCCCTTAATGCCGAGCGCCAGAAAGGTTAACAACAAGTACAATCTTTTAACGTCTTTTGGTATGACGCGACCGGGGATCGAACCCCAGACCTTCCGCTCTTCGGGCGGACGCACTACCACTAGACCATGGATGTGGGAGGACAAGAACATGGGGACATAATCATGGTCATTCGTAGTCACGATCATAGGCTCCAGTAAAGTCAGGCAATGTACCACAAACAAAGATATAATGAATATGCTCCATCAGCTCCTAATTGAACGAATACCGTAGTCGGCGCTACACATACCCGTATTAATTGCACATGATTAAGTTAATGAATCCTAGATAAGATAATTCCTGTTGACTTGTGAAACCCACCCCAGCAAGCTGTTCATTTCAATAAGAATGTACAACACGTATCTTATGGGCATCCAGCTGTAAGTTGTGAAACAGATAATCAACTTCCAGTCCCGCTGTCTCATCAACACATGTGCGGCTGGCATTTATGAAGTATGAGCAGAGATGATGAAGTGGAGATATCTCACAGAGTGGCGTTCTGACTACCAAAGACACCCCCTCCACCTCTCCCTCAACACCCCTTGCCACTCGTACCAGAAAACACGAGACTACACGAAACGTTATGCAGAATACATTATAATGTTACTTTCATGTACGATATATGAACACTAGTCTGTAACTGTAAGCACAATACTGTATGTCTGGCACTTATTGCATGGCATTTAAGCACGGTACTGAACGCAAGATGCCTCCTGCATCATACACTGTGTCGCCGAGTCAGTGAAACGTGTCCGTTAACTTGTAAATCTCCAAGTAGTTGAACCAATGAAAATAAACTATTTGTTTCCTTCACCCGATCCCATCCTTTCCGCCACCTCGCCCGACCCGACCAGATTCAACTCACCATGCCATCACCCCACGTACCCATCCGCCTAACCCATCCCTTTACCCACCACACCCATTCCCCTAACCCACTTCACCAAACCTACTAACCATCCTCACCCATCCCCCTAATCCACCCCACCCATCCCCCAAACCTGCTTTACCCTAACCCACCTCACCCATCCTCCTAACCCGCCTCACCCATCCTTCTAATCCACCTCACCCATCCTCCTAACGCACCTCGCCCATCTGCCTTACCCACCTCACCCATCCTCCTTACCAACCAACTTCACCCACCCTCCTAATCCACCTCACCCATCCTCCTAACGCACCTCGCCCATCTGCCTTACCCACCTCACCCATCCTCCTTACCAACCAACTTCACCCACCCTCCTAACCCACTTCACCCATCCTCCTAACCCACCTCACCCGTCCTCCTAACACACCTCGCCCATCTGCCTTACCCACCTCACCCATCCTCCTTACCAACCAACTTCACCCACCCTCCTAACCCACTTCACCCATCCTCCTAACACCCCTCACCCGTCTCACCCACCCCCTAACCCACCTCACCCATTCCCTTGCCAACTTCACCCATCCCCGTAACCCACCTCACCCGTCCTCCTAACCCACCTCACTTTCCTCCTAACACCCCTCACCCATCTCACCCACCCCCTAACCCACCTCACCCATTCCCTTGCCAACTTCACCCATCCCCGTAACCCACCTCACCCGTCCTCCTAACCCACCTCACTTTCCTCCTAACACCCCTCACCCATCTCACCCACCCCCTAACCCACCTAACCCATTCCCCTTGCCAACTTCACCCATCCCCGTAACCCACCTCACCCGTCCTCCTAACCCACCTCACTTTCCTCCTAACACCCCTCACCCATCTCACCCACCCCCTAACCCACCTCACCCATTCCCCTTGCCAACTTCACCCATCCCCGTAACCCACCTCACCCGTCCTCCTAACCCACCTCACTTTCCTCCTAACACCCCTCACCCATCTCACCCACCCCCTAACCCACCTCACCCATTCCCCTTGCCAACTTCACCCATCCCCGTAACCCACCTCACCCGTCCTCCTAACCCACCTCACTTTCCTCCTAACACCCCTCACCCATCTCACCCACCCCCTAACCCATACTTAGCCCACCTCATCCATCACTTAACCCACCTCGCCATCCTCCTAACCCACCTCACGCATCACCCTTACCCACCTAACCATCCTCCTAACACAACTCACCCTAACCCATTCTCCAACCCACCTCACCAATTCTGATAACGTACCTCACCCATCCGCCTAACCCACCTCACCCTAACCTACTGCATCCATCCTCCAAACCCACCGCACCCATCCATCTAACCAACCACACCCATCCTCCTAGTCGACCGGCTAATCTACCTCATCTCCTCGCTCTTCAACTGGTTTACAGCCCACCTTCCACGCCCCCCTGAACCAGCCACACAGCATCACGCCCCCCTGAACCAGCCACACAGCATCACGCCCCCTGAACCAGCCACACAGCATCACGCCCCCCTGAACTAGCCACACAGCATCACGCCCCCCGTCAACCAGCCACACAGCATCACGCCCCCCTGAACCAGCCACACAGCATCACGCCCCCTCCTAACTGTCACTGATTACAGGGGAAGTATTTGGCGATGATGTTGTTAGTGAATAATTAGCCATGTTACAGGGTAGCTATGTCTTTTATGATCAGTTTAACGTTTGAAGCATTCTCAACTGACTTCCAACGGATCAGCTGAAATTTGTCTCAAATAGTCATGTTCATATCATTAATCAAGGTCGATAACAGACCATACGTTTCTCGTATAAAACAGCTGCATTTGAAGTGTACTACAACCAGAGAAATGATTATACATTGTGTGATGAAAATATTATTTTTTATGAAAAAAGAATTTGTTAAATATTAACTTCATTTAGACCCTCAACTTTCGTCTTTGTAAAGAAATGTGTGAAACGGAATTCAGATTAATTTAGACCAAATGGCATCCTTTATATGTAAGCAATTATTTGCTTTGTGCCATAATTAAAATGGACATCATATCCTCACAGAGTTTACATAAACACACCCAATGTGTGCACATGCCGTGGAAATCGGGCATATGTTCCCAGCTGGCTGCAATCAACATCTAACGAAACGACTTTCCCGTGCTGCACGTGCAGTTTAGAGTAAACGAGGGATGCCACACACTATTGTGTAACGTATGATTGACATTAACCTGTCAGTGAACAACAATCGTGAACGAGAACATGAACTGTTTAACTACGCGGGTGTTTGATGCGAAAATATCAAACCCATGAACACACAACTATTTTGTAACGACGATACGATATTCATTTTCTCCTTCTTTTACTATCATCATATTATTTATTATTTGACAAAATGATATCCAAAGTAAAACGAATCGACATGAAAGAGTCGAAAATTCATTTCAGAACGCCAGCATTACGATAACAAAAATCAGTTTTTTCCAAATAGCATGTTTCACACATCTGTCAGTCGGGTCTTTGATGGCACCGGAACTGGCAGATTTGTTCAAAATAATCTCTTCTTTTTCGAAAGAAGCGTGCTCCTGTAAATATGCGAACATCAAAAGACAAGGTCCGAGATCAGATACATTTTCCCAACAACTATTTGTCTTCCCTAGAGACCATCACACGTTCTGTGAGGGCTGGATACCCAGGAAGCAACGTGTAACTTATCTCTTTTGTTCGTAGTATATTATCACTGTCTGTGGGGTTTAAAGCACTCTTCTACATCTCAGATTAACTACAAATGAAATGGAGCTTTACAAGAGCGTCGCGCATTGTTGCTCACCGACCCGTAAAGATCCGGTCCTCAGGAACCCATGCTTGCCAAAAAGGCGACTATGCTTGTTGTAAGAGGCGACTAACGGGATCAGGTGGTCAGGCTCGCTGACTTAGTTGATGCATGTCATCGTATCCCAATTACGTGAATCGATGTGCATGATGTCAATCACTGGATTGCATGGTCGAGACTCGTTTATTTACAGACCGTCATCATATAGCTGGAATACTGCTGAGTGCGGCGTTAAACAAGAAACAAACAAACAATACAATGACATGCACCAACCAAGTCACCGAGCCTGACCAACGGATCCCGTTAGTCCCCTCTTACGATAAGCGTGATCGCCTTTTACGGCAAACATGGGTTGATGAAGATCAATTCTGACCTGGATCTTCACGGCTGTTTAACGACAAAATAGTGAGTCATATGATTGTTCTCTACACCTTCAAAGCGTCGAAGAAGTCGAACATGACGACAAAACAACTGCCTTACCATAAGCCCGCGTGGACCTTTGGTCCTAGGGATAAAAACTCTATAACTTTATACCTTGAAACTGAATATGAATTCAAGATCAAAAACGAAACACAGCATCAGTTTCGTCTGGGTCGCCATCTTGTCTTCAAAAGAAACTGGTTTTTCTTTCCGAACTGGATTTCTCATTCAAAATTATATTTTTGAAAATAAATGATACACGTTGAGATAGTTATGTAGTCGTTTAAGCTATTGTAATCATTTTCAGCCATTCGGAGATTGTAAATCATACAGCTCAGATCAACTTTTCTGGTGAGTACCCCCGTAAACTAGTGACGTATAGACCAGCAGATGGTCAACAATGTATGAACGTTGGGATACGGTAACCGCAGGTAGTGAGCTTGATTACTCCTGCCTTGTTGAGGTCGGTGCAATAAGATTACGATAATGACCTGATATAATGGTCTATAATGGTCTACAAAGGTTTGAGGGGCGTAGGGGAATAAACTACTGTGCTGGTGGTCTGGTATCCCTCGGGGAGAACTATGGTCACCTACGATTGTTGACCACTTATGGATAACAGAAACACACGGCCGACCACGGAGTGCGATGTGGTCACTCATGTTTGTGCCGACCACCTGTATAAATCTTCAGGTAAACAGGCCCAGGTGGCGGTCAAGAGCTGCCAGTGTGTGCTGTCCAGACGTGCACTTGATGACCCCCGCAGGGGTGGCTGGAGACCTACTTCAGCCTCGCGGGAAATACAACATGGCTTTTGATGCCGCTGCATTGTGAAGAGTGCATGTTTCACAATACAGTCGAAATTCTCTAAGTTCGTCGTAACTGCATCACTTAGGGCTTTCCTCTCACATTAAGCTGACATGCCGTGATATGACTGGAATATTGTTCACAGCGGCGTTAAACCCAACTCACTAACTTTAAGTAGAAATCGGATAACTGGAAAAAACAGATTACGTATCATTATTTTAGTCGTATCATAGCAGCTGAAAGCCCAACTTGTTTTACGTGAATTAGTTTTGCTCCACGTTTAGCAATATTACAGCATCAATAATCGGTTTTAGTCCACAGACAGCTTCATCACGACATCCCAGAAAATAATCGAGTCTGGGCCAGGCAATATAAGTGATTGGTCTAGAGAGCAACACCTACAGCACGATAGCACACGATTAACACGAGTCACACATTGTAATAATCCGATCCTCATGCGTCGGTCCTCACGATGTAGTTGCACCCGTGAAGATCCCGGTTAGGATTGGTCTTCAGCAATATATGCTTGTCATAAGAGGCGACTATCGGGTTGTCAGACTTGCTGACTTGGTTGATGCATGTCATCGTATCCATTTGCGTAGCTCGATGCTCATGTTGTCAATCACTGGATTGTCTGGTCCAGACTCGGTTATTTACAGACCGCCGCCATGTAGCTGGTATATTGCTGAGTGCGACGTTAAAGAACAAACAAAACGCTGATTTTGTGTGAGACCGTAGCTCAGACTGCCAACACTCTGGACGTGTTTATTGCATGCTACATGCTATGGCTTATAGATGGTCTAAATTGTATGGATATAATCATAAAACCTGTAACTGTCGTTCGGAATACCCCGTGTTAAATATATCGTGGTTGCATGATTAGAAAACACATTACGACTGTCACTTTCATGATCTGGTAAGCGACGCTCTGATTGGTTGGATGAAAGGTCGTTCTGACGTGACCCGTAATGGGATGTCCTCAGATCTTTGTTTAGCGATAGCGAGAACTAAGATCTGATTTTAATGAAATTACAACAGTAAGGGTCAACCTGCCACCAAGATGGGGGCAATTCAACAATCAAGGGAGATAACTCACTCTCTTCATTTGCCGCTCTATCCTTGCCACTTCTTTGACTCCGAGTTCAAACACCTCTTCCGGAGAAATCTCATATCCCAGGTACCATTTCAGGCACGCGCGGTAGTACTGGTTTCCGTTTGCCAATGTGTGGACGCCCTCTACCGGCCGAGTAGCCTTTAGATACTCCTTAAAATATAAAGCATGGGTAATGTAGGAGGAATGGTTATTGGATTGAGGATGTTATAATCACTGAACAGACAATTTAGGGTTCTATTTCAGCAAACTTTATGAGGGGCCGGACAGGACAAAACACTAAACCCTGTCGCCGGATAGAATCTTTTGGAATAAATACATACGTTCTGGTTACCAGTCGCTTGACTTTCGGTATTACTGGTACTAACTGGCGATATTACGGAGACTAACTGGCGATATTACGGGGACTGACTGGCGATATTACGGGGACTGACTGGCGATATTACGGGGACTGACTTGCGATATTACTGGTACTAACTGGCGATATTACAGAGACTGACTGGCGATATTACGGGGACTGACTGGCGATATTACGGGGACTGGCTGGCGATATTACGGGGACTGACTTGCGATATTACTGGGACTGACTGGCGATATTACGGGGACTAACTGGCGATATTACGGGGACTAACTTGCGATATAAGAGGGACTGATGCTGATTGGCGATATTACTGGGACTGACAGGCGATATTACGGGGACTGACTGGCGATATTACGGGGACTAACGGGCGATATCACAGGGCCTGACTGGCAATATTATGGGGACTGACATGCGATATTACGGGGACTGACAGGCGATATTACTGGGACTGACTTGCGATATTACTGGGACTGACTGGCGATATTACGGGGACTGACAGGCGATATTACGGGGACTTACGGGCGATATCACAGGGCCTGACTGGCGATATTACGGGGACTAACTGGCGATATCACAGGGACTGACTTGCGATATTACGGGGACTGACTGGCGATATTACGGGGACTGACAGGCGATATTACGGGACTGACAGGCGATATTACTGGGACTAACTTGCGATATTAGAGGGACTGAGGCTGATTGGCGATATTACTGGGACTGACTGGCGATATTACGGGGACTGACATGCGATATTACGGGGACTGACAGGTGATATTACGGGGACTGACAGGCGATATTACGGGGCTGACGCTGTGTGAAATCGAACGTCACGGTTTGAGTCGCTGCTAACACTTGTTAATCTGCCACTTGTTTATCTTCTCAGGGCCGCAATACCTCTGCGGGTCGCTGTGGCAATGCTAAATAATGTTTACCTACGGTGTTAAACGTATTCGCTATGCCAAGAGTAACACAGCCACGTCAGCAATTGCCTTTGCGATATTACTGGGACTAACGGGCGATATTACGGAGACTGACTAGCGATATTACGGGGACTGACTAGCGATAGTACTGGGACTAACTGGCGATATTACGGGGACTGACAGGCGATATTACGGGACTGACAGGCGATATTACGGGGACTAACTGGCGATATCACAGGGACTGACTTGCGATATTACGGGGACTGACATGCGATATTACGGGGACTGACAGGTGATATTACGGGGACTGACTGGCGATATTACGGGGACTGACAGGCGATATTACTGGGACTGACTTGCGATATTACTGGGACTGACTGGCGATATTACGGGGACTGACAGGCGATATTACGGGGACTTACGGGCGATATCACAGGGCCTGACTGGCGATATTACGGGGACTAACTGGCGATATCACAGGGACTGACTTGCGATATTACGGGGACTGACTGGCGATATTACGGGGACTGACAGGCGATATTACGGGACTGACAGGCGATATTACTGGGACTAACTTGCGATATTAGAGGGACTGAGGCTGATTGGCGATATTACTGGGACTGACTGGCGATATTACGGGGACTGACATGCGATATTACGGGGACTGACAGGTGATATTACGGGGACTGACAGGCGATATTACGGGGCTGACGCTGTGTGAAATCGAACGTCACGGTTTGAGTCGCTGCTAACACTTGTTAATCTGCCACTTGTTTATCTTCTCAGGGCCGCAATACCTCTGCGGGTCGCTGTGGCAATGCTAAATAATGTTTACCTACGGTGTTAAACGTATTCGCTATGCCAAGAGTAACACAGCCACGTCAGCAATTGCCTTTGCGATATTACTGGGACTAACGGGCGATATTACGGAGACTGACTAGCGATATTACGGGGACTGACTAGCGATAGTACTGGGACTAACTGGCGATATTACGGGGACTGACAGGCGATATTACGGGACTGACAGGCGATATTACGGGGACTAACTGGCGATATCACAGGGACTGACTTGCGATATTACGGGGACTGACATGCGATATTACGGGGACTGACAGGTGATATTACGGGGACTGACTGGCGATATTACGGGGACTGACAGGCGATATTACGGTGCTGACCCTGTGTGAAATCGAACGTCACGGTTTCGAGTCACTGCAAACACTTGTTTATCTGCCACTTGTTTATCTTCTCAGGGCCGGTATACCTCTGCGGGTCGCTGTGGCAATGCTAAATTCTGTTTACCTACGGTGTTAAACGTATTCGCTATGCCAAGAGTAACACAGCCACGTCAGCAAGTGCCTTTACACAATGAGGATTCTGATGGGCAATATCGTAGTGGGGTCGGGGGAAGAAGGGACGGGGTCGAGCTGGAACTGTGAGACCAGCTCCGTGTAGAAGCCGCCTGTGGAAGGCAGATGCATGAGAACCTTGCCTCCATTCAAGACGCTTCACCACAGCCAGGTGTTTTGGAGATACCGCGGGTCAAGCCTTCAATACCCTGCTGCTCCTCTCCTCTTTGAAGTCTCCTCGTATTGTGAGAGGGTGACGAGAATACTGTGGTGTGTAAGTAGAACCGTGTGTGAGGGGCGGGGTGATAACCTGCCATTGTTTTCCTGGAGGCTACTGTTGTCTGGAAACAGGGGTAATGGTGTCTGGGCGTGATGGACGAATGAATAGCTATGAAGAACATCACGTCAAACTAGACTGCGTTGTATGAGCTTGTTGGAGACCCTCGTTACAGGACCACATAAAGGTTTCATGCCATACAGGTGGTGTGGTACTGCCACAATGAGCTACCTCTCAATGTGAGTAATCCACGAGGTGTTTCTGAGGGTTGCTGTATATGATTACCACATTATCACGACCAAGGCTTATTTCACAAGATGTCGCAATAATGGAAAAGTAACCATGGCTTGTTGCATGACGGGCAAACGCCTTATAGACTGGAGATCTTAAAACTAAACATACCCGGCGTCGGATGCGACGTATTATCAGGATGCGGTGTGTAAGGGCAGTACCTGTCACTCTAAGTGTATGGTCAAAATGTGACCTTTTCTAATAAACTGATAGTTTTAACAAATATATTCACACCCACCGTCTCAATGAATTTCTGTAGTTTTCTTATTGCTGCTGAAATATCTGGAAGACTCTCCTTTGCTTTGACCAGAACCAGTTCTCTGAAATATCAGAAGAAAGTAAAAATGACTTTGCCTTATGATCTGTTTGTTTGTTGTTTCACGCCGCACTCAGCAATATTAAATAATCGAGTCTTGAAAGGACAATCGGGTGGTTGGCATCGATTGAGTATCGATCTACGCAAATGAGATACGATAACATGCATGAACCAAGTCAATGAGACTGACAACCAGATCCCTTCAGTCGAGTTGCCGAAGAACCCGGATCTTCACAGGTCGTTGTCCCTTATCTGGGAGTCCAGAGTCTCCTACAGCTGGTTTGTCCTGGGGGCGTTGTGAATAACCGAGGTCTTGTTTGTATATGTACGAGCATTATGGTAGTGCTAGTTTCAGTTCAGTCAGAGAATGCGTCGGGTGTTACCCCGCTTTGAAAGGTATTTCAGATATATCACGGCGTGTCATTATGTGGGAGGAAATCCCGAAGTTATGCAGGTCTTCTATACGTTAACCACTTCCGTGAAACCAATGATCATTTGTATGGTGCTGACAAACCACGGATTATAATACGTTCTAACCTGGGATACAAATTCACGATCATAGAACCTTGTATGGTTTGTTTTCATTAACGGCATGTGCTGTACTATTGCAGGTGGTCGGATTTTGGCCTCTAGGCCTGACTACTGGTCTGGAAATCACTATAGTGATAACTATTGATATTGAAAGAAACTATTGCGATAACTATTGATATTGCAAGCAACTATTGTGATAAATATCGATAGTTTTCGGTGTATCATTTTAGATGGATTCTAGAGTTAAATTAAACCTTGGAACTAAAGTTTCCTTTGATTGTGATAACCATAACAACCAATAAGATGTAAAGTTTGAGATATGACTGATTTGTTTTTTTTCTTTACCTTAATAATGAAGAAAAAGAAACTTCCACAGTAGCATGTGTAAATTACTACCACTCATGATCAAAAGAAAAACAAATTTGAACAGCATTTTATGTATTTTATTGATATGGTAAATACAATCGAAACTATCAATATTTCTAACTGAAATCGATACTATTGATCGGAAACTGATTTAACAATCGATGTATTGACTTAAAGTGCTTACCAATAGCAATATATCGATATTTCGATTTATCGTGACAGCCCTATTGGCCTCTACTCACTTGATGTCCTGAGGCACCAGTTCCAAGGCTGTCTGTATGGGCAGCAGGAAGTTCTCCCCGATATCCCGCTCCTTGAGAATATCCGGCACGCGGTCCTGGAAAATAAACGACGCGTCAGTTAATGAATAATCTCTTTAATGTAGGTTTACGTCGCAGTCAACACTATCTGAGCTATTTCCCGGCGAACTCAGTGATTGAACGTGTGACCCACCATCCATGCCACCCAGACATGTAGAAACACAATGATCTAAGTCACAGAACACCCGATCCAATGCATACACATCTTACGGCAGGCAAAGAGTGCTCGGAAGTTTTTACGTTAAAATTTCTTTTAGGGCTTCCTTGAATTTTAATATTTAATAAATAACACTATTCTACATAAAAGATATATTATAATATTCACAATGTACATACGTTGTACATTACTTAAATCACTTGTAATTATACAGATATAAATATATATTCAGCAGAGAGACCTTGAATAAAGTTAGACCTCAATATCCCTGGAATCTGGCTACTGGTAAAACGGTTCTTGTACACAAGCTCCGTAGAACAGGTCCCCATCAACCCTAGCTTGTGGGAAGTGGTAATAGATGTGGACATGGAGTGGTCAGGCTCTGTGGCTTGACCGATTATGTGCCTTCGAACCCCCACGGCGTGGGCCGTTACTCATGCTGTCAACCACTGGTTGACCTGATCCAGAAATGATCATTCACAAGTCGCCGTGAGACATCTTCCCGAGGCAAGGGAGTTAACTGACTGTAAAAGTTCAGTTTCCATCCTTGCCGAACAGTCAGCACGGCAGTTCACGAAACGGATGTTGATTTCGTTACGCGAATTTGGTAGGACTATGCATAGACTCGTTACCTTAATCCAGCTAAAAAATAAGCTTAGTTCGGCAAGGGTGGAAACTGGACGTTCATTGTCAGTTAAGTCCCTTGCCTCGGGTAGATGCCGTGAGACTGCGCGATCGTTTATTGCAGCGTGAAACAAAAGACTGTCTTTCTCAAATGATCAGCTGGACAAATGTCTTGCAACGCAGTACTGTTGTTATATTAAGCCTTAACACTCATGTCCAGAAAATTTACGCTGAATTACATAGTCAAGATGCTTTAGAATAGATCTGAGAGTCACAAGGCTATTTGAAGCAAGAAACGTGGATTTTAACATACGATAGTACGTGGCTACTACAACTTACGATTGAGACCCGGTGATTTGTTCTCTTCAGACTGATGGCCCGCCGCATCAGCGCGATCATCTCATCGATCTGGAGAAAAAAAGCTGGCTGTAAGAACTACTGTTAATCATCCTTAAAACGATTATTTCAGAATCTACACTCGTCTTGTTGATATCTTAACAACACAATAAAGTACAATGAAAACTTTTAAGTCCTGTTGAATAACATTATCCCGAAATAGTTTCCGGTTTAAATCCGAGAGATTTTAATTTTCCTTTAGTTTAGGAGACAATCTATGGAAAACATACAGGTGATGTTAATTAACAGCTGACTACAAAATCGGGCTACAGTTGTTGCTCACACACCTGAACTGGGAACGCTGACAAACGTTTGAGGTATTTCTCAAAATCATCTGGAGTGTCAAACTTGGCATAGAAGGTCCAGTGTGTCCCCTTGGCTATACCCTCCAGGAAGTTGACGGGATTCAGGGACCCATAGCTGTGAACAAATAACACGGAGATACAGTGAGTGAGTGAGTGAGTTGGGTTTGTCGCGCCTTGCAACAGTGCTTGTGTTATATCACGGTGAGAGAAGAAGTCGTAGACGTTTACCGCTTCAGTTACACCTATGTACATGGGTCCGCCGACACACCAAGACACTTAATTGAGACCACACAGGGTTTAAACCCATCGCCAGCAGATCCTGGCATAACTATCTTAGAAAATTTCGAGCTATGACGGAGGTTTTAAGAGAAGTAGTGGTGGTTCTAGTAATGGTAGCATTATTGATGGTTGGTTTGTTTGTTGTTTAACAAAACTCAGCAATATCCCAGCTATATAACGGCTGTCTGTAAATAATCGAGTCTGGACCAGACAATCCAGTGATCGATATCATGAGCATCGATCCACGCAATTGGGATCTCTGATATGCATCAACCACGTCAGCGAGCCTTACCACCCGATCCCGTTAGTCGCCTTTTACGACAAACATAGTCGCCTTTTGCGGCAAGCATGGGTTGATGAAGACCTATTCTAACCCGGTTCTTGTGGTGGTAGTATTATTGAAATTGTTTGTTTGTTTGTTGTTTAACGCCGCACTCAGCAATATTCCAGCTATATGACGGCGGTCTGTAAAATAATCGAGTCTGGACCAGACAACGCAGTGATTGACATCATGAGCATCGATCCACGCAATTGGGATCTCTGACATGTATCAACCAAGTCAGCGAGCCTGACCACCCGATCCCGTTAGTCGCCTATTACGACAAGCATAGTCGCCTAGTATTATTGATAGTATTATTGATAGTACTATAAGTAGAAGTAGTAGAATCAATTTACGAAAATTAAGGGTTATGCTGATCTATTTAAGGGCGTACTTGGGCCACAGTAAGGCCCACGTGTGCCCATACTGATGAGGTCTATTATTCAAGAATTAGGGGCGGTGGGGTAGCCTAGCGGTTAAAGCATTCGCTCGTCACGCCGAAGACCCGGGTTCGATTCCCGATACGGGTACAATGTGTGAAGCCCATTTCTGGTGTCCCCCGACGTGATATTCCTGGAATATTGCTAAAAACTCAATCAATCAACAATTTTCAAGAATTACATCCCTTCTCAAGATCACCTTGTACTGGTTCGAATGTCGATTTATCAAAACGTATACAAGCAGTTCATCTATTTCAACACTGACTGCTACCAACATTTCAATGAACGACCTTTAAGATGAACAGACCATTTTTTCACTGCTTAAATGACCTTTCCTGAGCCAATACTGCTTTGTATCCTGATGTATTGAGCTTCACGTGGTTCTTATTAGTCAAGCTGACTCACCACAATTGATATACACAAGGGATACTATGCTATCTGCATTATACATATCACACAGGATTGATGACAGAAGGTTCCCAATGTTGAACACAAGTCAAGATGTTTCTTTCGCGAATGACCCAAACAAACAAACAGAATTAAGCATGTGATTATTGTGTGAACTGACTCAAATTCAGAGTAGCGTTAGTATATTTCTTTTACAGAAACCGGTTGGAAGACATGAAACTTTTATGGAAAATGATTTTTTTCTTGTTTGTGTAACGACGTGTCAGTCTACTTCTGCCCATCCATCCGGTTTAATTTGAACTTTTTGTCTCTTGACGAATGGGCTTGAAGTAGCCCTGATATATTGTTACAAACAATATCGAAGTTATTCGCTGAAAGTGGCATATTTTCATGTTCAACCAACTTCAAATTGCAAATCCAATAAAGAATAGTTTTCCTTTCAAAAAGCTATAAAGTGTTTCATGTGTATATGTTTTGTTTAACAAAAACATTTGCCCAAGTATTGTTCAAGCGCCATAAATATCAGAATTTCAACAAGATGTTCCCACGCGTTGTTGTTAAAAATCTCCGAAAAATTACAAGAATCAAATATCATTTGATATACTGGAATTCTATTGTTATACCTTCTTTTGTCAAGAGAACACTCGAGACGCATATCAAGGTCGAAAACCGAGACAAACAACTTTCATGACAGTCTGGTATTTATTTCTTGCTGTTATTCATTTATTGTTGCAATCGTGAAATTCACGACATTTATTGGTGCACGTGGCCAAGCATATTGTCGACAGGAACAATGGTCCTGAAAGCAAAGCTGCGACCCGCTAAAAAAACACTGGGTGTTTCCCATACAGGAAAACATCTTTTTATACATGATTTCCGCAGAAATATTTTCAAAGAGCATTTTAATTGCACTCCTTGTTATCAAAATACGTGTGCCAAATAATCAAAGTTGCTCGTGTTTCTAACTTCCACAATTCTTTCAAAATATGATTAACAAGCCCTACTTTTGTCGAAGTACAATAAACATAAGATAGATGATGTTAGGTTGTAATTTGATTTACATCACATGTCTGAGTGAGTGTTCCCGTGGGGACCCGGCGTACACCATGTTCCCAGCTGCACATGACTTACATCTAGTCTCGGAAATGAACATATTTTACAGTAAAAACAGTTCTTAAATCATAGTTATAAAATATAATAATAAGGCGCCCAGAGACTCTCTTCATTTTCAGATATTGCAGTAATCTAGACTTGCCAAACATTATAGACTTGCATGAGCTTTATTGGATATATTTTTTTCAGGGTCTGTATGACAGACTGAGCTGCCCCTTGCTGCTCGTAAAACTTAAATGGGGATCGGATGGTCAAACGCTATGCCAAGGCGGATCGCGTCATTGTTATAGCTCTTGTTTTACGTTACTAATTTGCCTGGTCAAAATTCGATACTTACTCTGACAAGAGTACATATGTGTCATAGGACCTCCAATTGGCACCCGTGACGATCCGAGGTAGAATAGGTGTTCAGCAACCCATGCTTGTCGTAAAAGGCGACTATGCTTGTCGTAAAAGGCGACTTACGGTATCGGGTGGTCAGGCTCGCTGACTTGGTTGATACATGTCATCGTATCTCAATTGCGTAGATCGATGCTCATGATGTCAATCACTGGATTGTCTGGTCCAGACTCGATTATTTACAGACCGCCGTCACATAGATGGAATATTACTGAGTGCGGCGTTAAACAACGACAACCTTTCGTACACTTCAAGCCATATCAAGACGAGCACGGCGCATGTTGTAACAGTTAAGACCAAAATAGCCCGTAACAGAATATTCTCTGAGTAATTAAACGATCACCAAATAGCCATCACCCGGCTATCAAGATGTACCTTCGCCTATAAACCAAGAAACAAATTACTGCCACATAAAATTCAGGCGAATGAGAGGAAGATCTGGGTATTGCTTGAGCCATAAAACAGTTAACGTTCGGTCCACGTTTAATGTGTCCAAACTAAACTCGCTTTGAGTTGTGAGTGTTTTGACATACATTGCCTCTGAACAATGATTTCCACGTGTATGTGGTGCCGATGTCCGTTTCAGCGCGTGCAACACGGAATATGTGTCCGCACAAAAGTGGCTTGAATGGTGCGAGTGTTTTGACATTTGGCGTTTCAAAACAACGCGCGTGCACGTGTCAACTTCAGAGCGTGCAGTCCGTGATAATGAAATCGAAGCTTCTCAGGGTGATGTATGAGATGTGTTGGGGGGAAAGGCACAAAAATGATAATCGTTTCTGTGAGCAAATTCTTTTTTGGGTACCTGGTTTATGAATTACTATGCAAAAGAATGTGTAACCTTGGGGTTTTCATCTAAAACCTTTTGGGAATAACTTAGACAAAACCTACCACACAGCAAACAAACCTCTCTATATCGAGTATCCAGTGTATTTTGAAACCTCCAGTTTGCACACATTATTTCACTTTGCTATGGTAGATTAATGCTGCTTATACATACACGGATCCAGAGGGGGCGGGGGACTCCGGACCCCCTATTTGAAAACCACATGTAGTATGCTGTAGGCACTAAAATTGACTGGGAGGAGCATTTTGATATTTTGGACCCCTCCCTCTTAAATATGCTGGATCCACCCTTATTATTTATCATCCAAATCTGGCTCCCACAGGAGATATCTTCTTAAATCATATTCATTTAATGTCAGCTTAAATATGGCTAGGCCCGTGAAGATCCGGGTAGAATAGGTCTTCAGCAACCCATGCGACTATGCTTGTCGTAAGAGGCTCACTGACTTGGTTGATGCATGTCATCGTATCCAAATTTCGTGGATCGATGCTCATGATGTCAATCATTGGATTGCCTGATCCAGAATCGATTATTGACAGACCGCCGTCATATAGCTGGAATATTGCTGAGTGCGGCGTTAAACAACAAACAAATAAATATGGCTAATGGTGTGTTTCTGCTGGTGTTTTCATATTTGAACTATGGTGAAATATCTTCTATGTCTATTTCCACTTTTGTTTGGTGTGAAAGGGAATTTAATAACTTTGATGTTCGCAAGAAACATCATCAGGCCGTCGAAGTGAGCCAACGTTTGGTTTCGTTTATCAAAATTAAGAAACTTCCGCGAGCTCTGCGCAACATGTCTTTTCTACATTTTGTAAACATACTTCTTGGAACTCGTTAAGGTTCAGCTTAATGCCGCTTTGAATACTATTTCAGTTATATCACGGCGTGTCATTTTCATGTGGGATGAAAGCCAAAAGTGATACAGATCTCAGACGTTTACCTCTATGGTCAAATCAATGAGCACAGATATGGTGCTGACAAAGAATAAATCACAAGTGAAGATCCGGGTTAGAATCATCTTCCTGAGGCAAGAGAGTTAACTGACTATAAAAGTCCAGTTTCCACTTTTATAGTCAGTTAATTCTCTTGCCTCGGGATGATAGTTAGATAATATGTCTTCAGGAACCAACGCTTGTCGTAAGGGGCGGCTAACGGGCTCGGGTGGTCAAGTTCGCTGACTTGGTTGATTCTTTTCATCGTATCCCAATTGCGTAGATCTATGGTCATGATACCGATCAATGGATTGTCTGGTCCAGTATCTATTAGTTACATACTGCCGTCATATAGCTGGAATATTGCTTAGTGCGGCGTTAAACAACAAACCAAACCAAACCAAACCAAACATAACCAGCCAGGTCACACATTGTTACGATCCACGCAGTCGTTGTTCGATGACACACAACCAGCAAGGTCACATATTGTCACGATTGCTTGTTGTTTAACGCCGCATTCAGCAATATTCCAGCTATATGACGGCGGTCTGTAAATAATCGAGTCTGGACTGCGTGGAACGTAACAATGTGTGACTTGTCTGGTTATGTGTAATCGTACCCCGACTGCGTGGATCGTTACAATGTGTGACCTGGCTGGTTGTGTGTGATCGTGCCCCGACTGCGTGGATCGTTACAATGTGTGACCTGGCTGGTTGTGTGTGATCGTACCCCGACTGCATGGATCGTTACAATGTGTGACCTGGCTGGTTGTGTGTGATCGTACCCCGACTGCATGGATCGGTTCAATGTGTGACCTGTCTGGTTGTGTGTGATCGTACCCCGACTGCGTGGATCGGTACAATATGTGACCAGTCTTGTTGTGTGTGATCGCACCCCGACTGCATGGATCGTTACAATATGTGACCTGTCTGGTTGTGTGTGATCATACTCCGACTGCGTAGATCGTTACAATGTGTGACCTGTCTGGTTGTGTGTAATCGTACCCCGACTGCATGGATCGTAACATTGTGTGACCTGGCTGGTTGTGTGTGATCGTACCCCGACTGCATGGATCGTTACAATATGTGACCTGGCTGGTTGTGTGTGATCGTACCCCGACTACGTGGATCGTTACAATATGTGACTTGTCTGGTTGTGTGCGATCGTACCCCGACTGCGTGGATCGTTACAATATGTGACCTGGCTGGTTGTGTGTGATCGTACCCCGACTGCATGGATCGTTACAATATGTGACCTGGCTGGTTGTGTGTGATCATACTCCGACTGCGTAGATCGTTACAACGTGTGACCTGTCTGGTTGTGTGTAATCGTACCCCGACTGCATGGATCGTAACATTGTGTGACCTGGCTGGTTGTGTGTGATCGTACCCCGACTGCATGGATCGTTACAATATGTGACCTGGCTGGTTGTGTGTGATCGTACCCCGACTACGTGGATCGTTACAATGTGTGACTTGTCTGGTTGTGTGTAATCGTACCCCGACTGCGTGGATCGTTACAATATGTGACCTGGCTGGTTGTGTGTGATCGTACCCCGACTGCATGGATCGTTACAATGTGTGACCTGGCTGGTTGTGTGTGATCGTACCCCGACTGCATGGATCGTTACAATGTGTGACCTGGCTGGTTGTGTGTGATCGTACCCCGACTGCGTGGATCGGTACAATGTGTGACCTGGCTGGTTGTGTGTGATCGTACCCCGACTGCGTGGATCGTTACAATGTGTGACCTGGCTGGTTGTGTGTGATCGTACCCCGACTACATGGATCGTTACAATGTGTGACCTGGCTGGTTGTGTGTGATCGTACCCCGACTGCGTGGATCGGTACAATGTGTGACCTGGCTGGTTGTGTGTGATCGTACCCCAAAAGGTCAGTTGAACAATTTTCTGGTTTCTCATGACGAGGAAGGTTGTTTTTTCAGCAGTTGGTGACAAATTATTTAGAGTAATTTTGATTAGTGTGAACTACGTGGGCACTTCTGGAAACGCCCCCCGCGACTCGAGGTATGAAGAGAGAGAGAGGGGCTGGAGCGAGATGACAGTGGCCAGGTCCCCCTCCAAATCTCACACACTATGAGTAGCATGACGTGTGCAATGTGGGATCCGTTTGAAAATCTCGCTTTATATTTCAGGGACGGGCGTGTCATGAGAAACGATCTATTTTAACGCCACCCGATGAGTTGTACTTACTCTCGCCACTTGTAGCCATCGATATACGCAGTGAGGTAGGACTTCAGTATTCTCAACTCCCGCTTACTTCCCTTTGGCAGCTGCGTCGCATCAAGCTCGTGGGCCTGTCGCAGAATATCCTCGCAATTGTCCTGAAAGTTGACAAAATATACTGCTAAAATGTTTCGGTATCTTTGCATGTTTACCTAATGCAGCATAAACCGTGACCTGGTTGCGCTTGTGTAGCATCGTACCCAGAATGAGTTGATGATGGGGGTGATTGTTCCAGTACGGAGGTTAGGTGAGGGTTCGAAACCATATAATGATTTTCAGTATAGTGATAACTGACCTTCACGACGTGTGTCGCACTAAGCTGACACGCCATGACATGATTCAAGTAATGTTCCTATTGGCGTTAAATCGAGCTCATTCGCTCACCATTGCCTAAACCAATACACATACTGAAGCAATGTCAAACTATATTTCCCATTATCTCAAAATCATATAATCGTGAAGATCCGGGTTAGAATAGGTCTTTAGAAACCTGTGGTCGCTGTTAAAGGCGACTATGCTTGTAAGAGGCGACTAACGGGATCGGTCAGGCTTGGCGACTTGGTTGATGCATGTCATTGTATCCCAATAGCGTAGATCGATGCTCATGATGTCAATCACTGGATTGTCCCTTTCAGACTAGGCTATTTACAGACCTCCGCATTAAGCTCGAATATTGCTGAGTGCGGCGTCAAACAACAAACAAAATCAAAATCATATTTAGTCATTAGTAAAACAATTTAGGTGGAATTTTCGACGCTTTTATTCTTTTTATTTAAGTTGTATCATTGGATAGTCACAACGAAAGTCAAGCGAGATGTTCCAGCCGACAAGATTTGATAGGTTAATACACCTGTTGAGAACATAAACTGGATATTTCGAGAATTTTAGGTCACGTGGGATGTAAGTATATCTCGTCCCGTTGACCTCCCTTTCATTTTCTCCAGTAACCCAGATGATTACAAGACATCATACCTAAATACATTAACAGAAAATATTTTTAAGGGTCCCTGTCAAAATAATATAGTCTATATTTCAAATGTCTTCGCAAATACTTTAAATAAAAGCGACAAAACCAATTTCATAATCATAAGCTCTTTTACGTACGCACAAGTAATATTCCCTTTCCAAAGTCGATTTTATCTTGTACTTGAGAAACACACTGAAGCTATGTTTCATAGATCTCTTGATAGTTTTCGAAAAGAAACCATTAAGCATTTGAGAGGATCCCCAGATAATTACACAACATCCTGTTTTAAACATCGCTGTTTATCGCAATATAACGAGACTGTGTCATAACCGCAAATCTCAACAGTACAAAAGTCATTCAGCACGTGCTAATGCGGTTTTCTCCCACTCTTCCCATCTGGTTAATAACAAGATGTCTCAAACCACATACCCTGCAATAAAAAATACACACACAAAAACACACAAGTACTATTCGTAAAAAGAAGTGTGAAATCGAACAGATGTTGGTTGTTCTTCATGTAGAACATCGTGTGTTTATTGATATACATACCACTCAACCTTTGCTTGGGAAACTAGGGACAACAACTTAAGATCATGTCGACTTTTGTTCATTTTCTATTTGTTTTGTCCAATATTCCAGCTATGTGACGGCGGTCTGTAAATAATCGAGTCTGGACCAGAGAATACAGTGATTGACATCAGGAGCATTGATCTACGCAATTGGGATACGATGACATGCATAAAACCAGTCATAGATCCTAACCACCCGATCCCGATAGCCGCCTCTCACGACAAGCATTGGGTTGCTGAAGACCCATTCTAACCCGGATCTTCTATCAAGGAATAACTAGAACATCGCTTCTACCGAAGTTTAATCTACATAGTAGTGTGAGTTTCCGAGCAAGAGAGCCTAGATTCTCCGTCCTGGCAATTTTACGCAATTTCACATATCATTAAAATAGATCTGTTTGAAGTGTCAAGTTATCGGTATCATCAAAGTTTTGTCTCACCTGGTTAAAAGCGGGATCCATGAAAGAAATACATTCCAATTTCATGCACCAGATAGGTTTACCTTGGAGATCCTACATTGGCATGTCATGTCTCGTTAAAGAGGGCGCTTATAAAACTCGTCATATTGGATGTATAAGTACTATACTTGAGATCGGGGTGTGTGTGTGTGGTGGTGGGGGGGGGAGTCAGAAGGTCTGCAGAGAAAGATCAGAATAGTCGCGTCCAAGATTATTGCACTTATATAGCGACGTGCATGTACGTGTGTGTGTGTGTGTGTGTGTGTGTGTGTGTGTGTGTGTGTGTGTGTGTGCGCGCGCGTGTGTGTGTGTGTGTGTGTGTGTGTGTGTGTGTGTGTGTGTGTGTGTGTGCTAACAAAAACCACAGAGTAACAACCTATTGTTACGTTTGCCTTCGTTACTGGTTGCCTTGTATAAGAACAGAGAGTTAATACATTCCCACAGAAGCAGTGGGTGATTCCAAATCTCCAAGACTCAGATAACCGTATGTTCTGATTGCAAATAACATCCTGGATATGTTCTCTAACCTTTAAGAACATTCAGCATAAATCGGTTGATGCCAAAAGAGCCTTCGGGTCGAGATACAGTCAACACTGAATATGACTCCACGGAAACTTCAAAGAAAGTTTGTCCTGTCTAAAATATGCTTTAAACGTTAAGTTCAAATTCTTATTGATTAGAAATTACTACGTTATGGTCAATAATCGCTACGTCCGGTCTCAGGGGTACATGTAGCGGAAATAGCTGAGAACGGTTTGGCACACTGGCCCCGTGAGACCCGTTTTAAGGAAAAAAACACTGATTCCGACCTTGACCTCTTCGATCTTAGTTTCTTCAGTTAATTAGAAACTAATTACACCCTCGACTTAACACGGAATCCATCAAACGCGATTTAACACGTGTTGGCCTTCGTTCACGATTAATAGCCGAAGTTTAGGAAACAACTATCACCTGACACGAAAACATTTCATTCCGAATCGTTTCAACTTTTACATGCAGCTCTATGTCCACCTGGAATTTGTTTTCCGTCAATCAAAAGATACAGCCATTGCCCACTTGTCATGCGCAATCACGTGTAACAGGCTAATTGACCAATCAAATACCTCGAGGCTTATCGTGCACCGTTTACGAGAAGGTAAGTAGGCTATTTGGGGTTGATGCTGTACTAAGTGCCTCTGTTTGGGTCATGTTTCTTGATCCTTGGCACCGGTGGGTCGGAGGGAGCCGGAACTCGCTGGAGTTCAAGACATTCAGACAAAATATAACTATGGAAATGGTATCAGTATGATAAGAGAGTCTGTCGAAAACCGGTTTTAGTTATGAATTTCATTCATGTTGGGCTGGAGGATAGCGTGGGAGGTTGTCACATTGACGTGTCTAATGTGTCTTGGTGTTGGAAGGAGGTTTGATGATCTTGAGCACTGACATACGCAGCTATACACTGTGTCGAACGTAACTATGATCATGTTCTTAACTAGCATATTGCGACACAAACATCTCTCCTTTTCCTTGAAGGTTTAAATAGTGTTCAGTGTTTGAATGGGTCTTATTAAAACCAAAGTTGAAGCAAATCACATATAAATGCATCATAAATATGCGTATGCTTCCAACACACTGTAGTCCCTGGCTACTGGACATGTATATCGTTAAGTCGTGGCTTAAATCCGAAAACAAGATCCGGGGTAGAATAGGTCTTCAACAACCCATGCTTGTCGTAGGGGCGACTATGCTTGTGGTAAGAGGCGACTAACGGGATCGGATGGTCAGGCTCGCTGACTTGGTTGCGCGATTATTTACAGCCGTCATATTGATATTGCTGTGTGCGGCGTTAAACAACAAACAAACAAACAATTCTAAGGTATTTATTCGTGTTGGTCTACACTAGATGTGGTGAAATGTCTGGCTGTCTGCATCCCCCATTAGAGCAGGACCAACAACATGAGAAAATTGAGGTTATAGATATGGCTTCTTTTTTTAACCTAACAATTGTTTTTTTGCCGACACATTTGAAAGATTGATCATATTTGAAAACGATATCGTCTATGTCAATCAGTAATCATTAGTAATTTTCTGTAATCAACACAATCTCAGTTACTCAGTTACATATTTAATTTTCAATCACATTAAACTGGTTGAAGCATTCACAATTTCCAGGCATACGTATGTCATTAGCTACCGAGAGAGTTATTGATGCGTCAAACGTGCGCTTCAAACACTCTCACGTATCGGATTAACCTGGTGGTTCAAGTGTTTGTGCGTCCCGACTCCCACGGTAATGTTGCTACAATATTGCCAAAAGTGACATAAAATATGACACTAACTGACGTTTGTCTATCTTACAATTTATATGTAATAATATAACATATCCACTGAACACATTCACTTCAGTTCATTCGTCCCGTGCTCATCGAAACACTCGACTAAACTTGGGATAGGTTCTCCCATTGGCTGTCTCAGTAAGATCAGATCTTAGTTCTTGTTTCCGCTAAACAAAGATCTGAGGACATCCCATAATATGTCACGTCAGAGCGACCTTTCATCCGACCGATCACAGCGTCGCTAACCAGACCGGGAAAGTGACAGTCGGAATGATATGTTTTCAATCATGCATCCTCGAAAAAGTTAACACGGATATTCCGAAAGACAGTCTCTCGCATCTATTGGATACATATTTTAAGCGGAAGAGACTTTCCATAAACCGTGGGAAGCACTGCCATACAATCTCGGCCATCTTTTTGACGTGCCAGAATGGTTATTTGTTCTGTTTTCAAATTTTAAATCGATATTTTTCAAAGCGTAAATAGGAATGGTGATGATGTTGGATTTAATGAGCCGTTCCGGAGGACCCGATTTCTTACTCGGGAAATGGAAGTCCATTCGTGACCAAGTCGTGTTATTCCGGAACAAGCCGAATAGCGGCTCGTGCACCTTTCAGTGGCCATTTTTGCGACCGGTTTCCGTCTAAGCGCAAACGGGCAATATATATTTCAGATGCAATTTAAAGCACATCGGGACATGCGGAATTATACAGCATGATTGAACACATTTAACTATTTCTTGGGTATATTTTTAGATGCAAGACATATGTAAAATCAAAAGTTATTCCTGAGGCATTCTTTGACGAAGAACTTGAAGTCGTACGCGCATTCTGATTGGTTTGTCGTATTTTCGCACATAACATTCATCGATAGGGGGACGAGTCTTCTTGCAGGTTACGGAAAGGGGCGAGTGGTGACGAGTGAATGGTAGTCGCCAATTTGAAACAATAGTGCCGTATAGGTCGAGAAAGCTGCTTTCTGTTTGGCTAATGTCGACTTCTTAATGGGATGTCCTTGTGCATCCGGAATTGGATCAGACAAAGCACTGATCGATGACATGAACACAGATCAATGCTGCCGGTGCGAACACATCAATCACCAGGGGCGAAGAGCTTCGTTTCCTTGGGAGGCCATCCAAGAAGTATAAAAAAACACCATTTTGGTCACTCGATACCCAGTTTAATCACCCTGACGACAAGAAATGAAAAATGGGAGCCAATTAGCCCCGGAATCCCAAGAATGAACCAAATCAGGACCATACATCAACGTTTAGTAGCGCACTACGTAACCTTATATCAGGTGGTAAGGAAAAGGCGGGTCTTATACAGTTAATTAATCGCTACATTGCCCAGGACGGCACAGTACTGTATACTTGTTCAGTACTTAGAGCGCCAAGCATACCATCAGTGCAGTGTCGGCACCTAATAAACCATTTTGATTATCGCTATATATCAGGGCTATAAAATATAAAAAATCTATATTAATCATTATGAAACGTTTTGAAGAATCAATTGTACCTACTTTTCATTTTAAGTATTGCAAACTAAGCATCGCAATGAGGATGCTGCTACACATGATAATAATGGTGTGTTCTTCCCTCTTTCCATTCCCAACTCTCTCTGTAAATGATCAAATCTGGACCAGATAATCCAGTGATTGACATCATGAGCATCGATATACTGGGATACGATACGCGGACATGAGTATATATAATGTATAAATGACGTCCGAAACATCAAAGCATAATTGGACCGCAAGGTATATACTTATGTCAGTTTCCGATTCAGAGAACCTACATTTTCTTTCGTGGCAATTTTACGCAATTTCACTATCAAGTAAATAGATCTGTTTGAAGTTTGAAGTTGGAACGAGTTTCCCGTATTATTGCAGTTTACATCAACATGCCTACCAAGAATTTGCATTTGGGTATGGCAACCTTCGGGCTGACAAAACAGGCAATATTTCCGCAAAACAAGAAAAGATATAATTAATGAGAGACCGATGTTTATTGCTCATTTTTCTCTGTGTTCACGGGGAAACGCTGCATGAGACTGACTTGTTTCAGTCGAAGTTGCCACCCGTTTCAGACATCATTTTGAGCATATCACTCCGATATTTCAAAACTTTCTCAATACGCATGTCAGTACCCGAAACTATCACTACCCAACGCACTACCCAACGCCACACTACCCAACACAACCTGTCCAACCCATCTCTACACGAGGATGTATCTGAGTATTTACCTATGTTAACACACCATTTCTCATCCTCAGACCACTTGTCACTGTTTAGGGTTCAAGCATTCCACAGTCACCATCGAGAAGACCGTACCAAATGTTTGGCATTTCTGCGGAGGTGTTGGGCTCCTAGTAGGCCTCATTTGTTATGTATGGGCCGGTGTACTAGCCGGCTACATCACTTACCGAGATATCAAGGTCAAATGATGCTTACGGGAAAAGCTAACATCTGCTATGGTTTCTGACTAAGCACTTGTGCATCCTCCAGTGTAATCAGTCTCGTGTTTTCTAGATATTGAGTCAGATGTACTAGATAGCGAAGGACCATTACGTTATAATATATGGTGAGTTGGTTCCCCGAACAGTCCGAAAATATATCCAGTCGTTGCTTCTCGGCAGGACAGACGCATTACAGAACGATTGAATGTTTTTTTATCATTTTTATTTTATTTTTGCGAAGGAAAAGTAATTTTGATAAAGCTCCTATCGGATATTGATTCAGCTATGTCCGGTATGTTGAAAGATGGCACAGATCTGAATTCCGAGGAATAGGGAAAACCGGCATGATTAACTGATAGAGGTTTGCGTACTTGCGGATTGAAGGGAGATGGCGAAGTTACGTGCATGGCAAGACTTTGCATAAATCGATGTTATTACAATGGTTTTATTAAGTAAACAACAGATAATTGATTAAGAATGTTGAAGGCAATACACGCTAGCTAGTTTTGTTTAAATTCACTTACATTGACACCAACACTGCAAAAAAACTTGATAAGTTAAACTGTCAAAACTTGTTAAGTAATTATGAACATAGATCTCGCAAAAGACTCCTGAACAAACATTCGTGGCAACTGAAAACTGACACCATCGTATGGGCCCGACTATTTAACACTGTGTGAGGAGTTTGGAAGGGGGGGGGGGGGGGGGGGGGGCGGTTAGAATATTTTATATACGTACAATATTTTTGTCTTAAAGGAGGATCCAGACTGTTTTCGAGTGGACCCATAGCCCATTTTTATCTAGGACATCCTAAACAACTATTTCTTGCAGATACTACTTTCCGTACAAGAGGGCACAAGAGAAGACTCTTGAAATAAGAAGAACGGTGAATAGGTCTTCAGTAACCCATGCTTGTCGTAAGAGGCGACTAACGGGATCGGGTGGTTAGGCTTGCTGACTTGGTTGATACATGTTGGTTGGTTGGTTTGTTGTTTAACCCCGCATTGAGCAATATTCCCGAAGACCTATTCTACCCCGGATCTTCACGGGTCTGGTTGATGCATGTCATCGTATCCCAACTGTATCCCAATTGCATGGATTGATGCTCATGATGTCAATCACTGGATAGTCATTGACAAGATTCGTAGAACAGAACCTAGTTTCTTCGTCCCCAAACAGAGCGGAATGCAATTATGGGATTTTTCTTGTAAAACTTCTTCCCGCATCGCAATGGTCTCATTGAATATTCTCACCAACGGGTCGTCACAAAACACTGGCAAACAAGTAGCCCCTACCTTTCTCCGTTTGAAGGATTCTAATGTAAAGGACTCCAGGACATCATCGTATCCATGGTAACCAGAGAATGTGGCGTATTCTGGGTATTCTTGCCATCTCTGGTCATACACAGCCTGCTGCAGACGCTGGAGAGTGACGGTCGGGTGCACTGAAAAGTGAAACGAAATAAATCTGGTGAAGATTACGTATTTATTTTTATCACGTCCTAATCCACATAATGATCGGCCCCGTGAAAACTCGGGTAAAGAATAGGACCTAAGCAACCCATGCTTGCCGTAACAGGCGACTATGTTTGTCGTAAGAGGCGACTAACGGGATCGGGTGGTCAGGCTCGCTGACTGGATTTATACATGTCATCGTATCTCAATTGCGTACATCGATGCTCCTGATATCAATCACTGGATTGTCTGCTCCCGACTCGATTATTTACAGACGTCGTCATATAGCTGGAATATTGCTGAGGTCAGCTTTAAGCATCAAACAAACAAACAAAACAAAATGATCGAAGATAAACTAAAAACTGTACTGACTATTCTTAATTGAAATATATATTAAGGGGTTTCTATTTAAATCCTATTGTCTTAAAGGGTATATTCAACCTCAACGACCCCTCGCAACATCGGTATGCATGATTAGTACAGCTATAATCTGTGTAATAGAACTCTAAACCTTTCCATTTCAATTATTAATCCTGAAGGTAATTCCAGGACAAAACAGACCCACAACCTCTAGCCCTCAATAGAGAGCCGGTCGGTCAGGTTTTGTGAGTTGGCTGATTGGTTGTCCTCGGGCCCAGATGGCGAGGATCAATGGTTTAACGCGGTTAGTTACCACCATGACCACACCTGGAATATTGCCGACTGTGGCGTTATACAAGAAACAACTGGTTCTTTGAAAGTTTTGGGTACATGGTTGTTAATAAGTATGGTAGTCTATACATTGAACGCACGTGTGATTTGCTAGTCTTTAATTCCAAAAACAAACAAATAGTTTTCACCCAAGAGCGAAACAAACTAGATCCGGAGAAACAGTTTTTCAAATAAACATTTTAAGTGATGTTCTTTCACAGATTCTTCAAGCAGCAAGAACTGAAGTTAAGTGAACAATCTCCCCTAACGAGCGCCCCGGTCGTAATTATCTCAACCAATTCAGACCCAGAGCAGTGCAATGTCACTGACTGCTTCCTTCTCTATAACATAACACGGATCAAATCTATGCACAAAATCAAGTTAGTCTCACATTCAGGGTCAAACAACAAATCATTCCCTGACAAGATCTCTTTCAAATTACCTCAAGAGCTGCATCAAATCCAGCCTGGTTCCCTGGGTATGCTGCGCTATCGTGCCTTATTTACAAGCTCTAAACATTATGTTGATAAAAATAACGATGTCTGGAGCTCTTATAATACCCGATGGCACCAGCCATTTTGAAACACAAAAGTGATTAATAACTGTTATGTCATATGACTCATATAAAAGCCTTTGACATCAGGTTGTTTGAATCTATATCTTTTTTATTCATGGTTACGGAAGTTTGTTGATTTTGAAAGCTGATATTTATCAGATGAATCGTTCTTGCTTCTGTTTCGTTTCCACTGACACTTTTGTTTACGTAAATACGTCAGTTCAAAGACGAGTTCAAGCTACTTCAGTGTGATAATCGGAAAATAAAGATTTGTCCATGTGGCATAATTTTAGCATGCAAACAAACCTAATTCTAGACGGTTTCAGCACGGTCATCGAACGTTTGGTAAAGGACAAAACATGTTTTCATAACGTCATCATCGACGCTACTTGCTGAATCTGATTACAAGCCAGAGAATAACATTAAGTTCTCCAATAAAAGTCTATGGATGTAATTTAACAAAATTAACGGGCTCAAACACCATGTTCGTGTCTTGACAGTTTGCCAAGGGTGTTATGAGACCCTATCTGGTGTCTGTATGATGAATGCGCAGTGCAACAGTAGAACCTGTTTAAGTCATGCTGGGTGGTCCTTTGTAAAGTGGGATAGCCTTGCAGGCAGATACACTTCATCTGTGTTGGTCGGCAAGCCGACTTTTTAAATAAGAGCCAGGGTCTAGGTCCTGTTTATGAACACAAAGTAAATCACTTTATCTTTTCATATACCAAGCAGTGGAATTATCAAAAGAACATATTCATAGATGTATTCCTGGAAATCACTTTTCGTATAGAAACGCATGCTCGTATATCCTTTCATAGATCTAGTCATGAAGCATCCCTAGTTTTATTACCCACCGACTTCTTATGGCTAGTTGGTAATCGTTACGCCAATGTATTCGTTGTATTCCAAACTAATCACAGACAGATCACTATACTGTACCCATATCAATTCAAATAACCGTTCATAGAACAACATGTATCGAAGAAATGTCCAGAGAATTCCTTGTAGAGTTCAGGCAAAAGAACGTATACACCCATTTTGGACAAATCGAATTTGCAATTTTCAAGTGTATGCTATATTTTGCCCGTCTAAATGAAACGATTCATACAAACGCAGCACTCATACCAGTCGCTGCTATGGGCGAGCATAAATGTAGACATGCATGTGTATACTGCTCTGCCAATAACGCATAGTGCGCGTAAAGGTCACATTTGCTACTTAGTTAACCACTGAAACTTCTACAGTCGTCAAAATGTAAAAATATAGGTTCCCTCAATACTTGAGACAAGTTCTAAGCTTAATGACATACAAACTATTTTTGAACTGTCTGTTATAAAACAAAATAGCCCTTAAAATTGGATCGATTACATGTACAAATAGATCAGTCTGTCACCACCCATACTTGTATTTCATATAATAGAGTACGCTAACAACGTATGTTATGTTATTGGGAACATGGTCTTCCATAGAATACAACCTTCAGCGATACATTTTTCATCTGATCCATTGACAAACTTGTCATATTTGAACTGTCGGATTGTTTTCCTTGACCTTTGACAACACCATGACCTTGAAACCCTAGGGGTCATGGATGACCTTTAATTGATTGTTTCAAGTTTCAAAGTTTGAAAACAAAAAGAGCTTATTTGATATGTTTGTAAATAAATCCTAGGTTCCATATCAAGTTCAGCCCCTTGGGGAACGTGTTTTGACGTGTTGCCTTTCGCCCTCTCAGCCCCCGGGAATACGCACTCTGCTGTAGCCTGGGAAACACATTCGAAGGTGAGAAGCCTGTATCAGAATAGAAGGGGATTTGTGTTATACCCGTTGTTGAGTACATGTTGCGAGTTTTTGAATGGTAAACTAATCTCCTTTTGAAAATGTACAAGGATAATATTTCCAATTTATTTACTTTGTCTCAACATACTTTTCTTTTGATTTGATTTTTTTTATTCTTTGTATTATTATTTTGTTTTGTTTAGTTTGTTGTAAGATTTTGGTGGGGAGATGGGGACTAGTTTTCTAGTTTGGGCTTGTTTGGGGGGGGGGGGGGGGGGGGCTGTGGATTTTGTTGGTTTTGTTTTGTTTTGGTTTTGTTTTTTTTTTGGGGTGGGGTGGGGTGGGGTGCTGGGGGTTTGCTGGGGGAAGAGGGGACGGTTTTCTTGTATTTCTTTCATATTGTTCATTATTTGTCTTTTGATTAGGATGCGGAGATCGGGTGCTGCTTCATAAGCGTGTTGAAACAATTGGATGTGTTTGTTGTTTAACGTCCCACTCAGCTATATTCAGGTATAAGTATCGAGTCTGGACAAGAAAAGTATTTGGACGTGAGCGTAGTGACCATACATCATGCTTGTTCAACCGCATGGCTGAAGCTCTATGTCTACTGATATTGGAATAAGTTTGGAAAGTAGATCTCATTTGAATAGCGTTTTACAGTCGAGCTTACTGTAGTTCTCCAAAGCTAAAAGTCGTCACCTTTAATCGAACATTACAATCGTGATCCGAATTCCATTTCACATCGACTTTGATCCAACATGTAGCTTTGTAAGTACAATGCCCACTCATTGTTTCACCTAACTGGTAAATGTCTGCGTCAGAGTGAGTGAGTGAGTGAGTGAGTGAGTGAGTGAGTGAGTTGGGTTCAACGCTGCTTTTAACATTATTCTAGTTATATCACGGCGTGTCAGCTTAATGTGGGAGGAAAGCCCAAGTGATGCAGGTCTCAGGCGTTTACCACTTCAGTGATACCCACGGGCACGGGTATGGTGCTGACAATTCTTGAAACATAATCGGGGCGAACTGCGATTCGAACCCACAAGCATAGGTTTCTGGCGTGCCCAAGGGGCGCAACTCTGCACAGCGAATCGCGGCGCCTTAGACGACCGGGCTATATACTTACGTTGGTTATATACTTTGGTTCCGTCGTTCATAACTGAGACACTGTTCAAAACGGCGTTTATCTCACTCTTTATCCTAATCTACTATTTCATATCATATATAGAGTCATTTTTCTCTCCTCTTCCATGTGGTTTGATAACCGAATCGGAACATAAACAGCCACTATGTAACCTTAAACAAGTCATATCAAGCAAAGATAATCACAAACTAAGACGTATTATTTAATATCACACGTGTTTGTTTGTCTTATCCAACAAGTCGTCTTTCATCCACCATGGTCATGTCCTTCCAATGTACTCTATTGTAACGTGACGTCTGTTCAAGATGGCGCCTGTTGATGCGCAGTCCAAAAGAAAACGTTGTAAATAACTCTCCAAAACAGCCGCTTTGAGATAATTTGCGTCCCTCGCCATTCTCTGCATGTCCGATAACCTCGCCCACAGCAGGGGTAAGGTTACTGATGAGGGTTCTAAACAGCCGTTTTTGTCAACACAACGTCAATTGCCGCGAGATCGCAGGCATTATGGGAGTTTTGGGCCAAATCGGATACCGTCAGTCGTCACGTGACACTCGCGGAATTCTTAATGTTGTTTTGAGTCAGGTGAACGTTAGGGCAATAACATATGGAATGTTTAAAACAGCAGCGACCTCACAGGACTGTATGAAACAATTGTTGTTTTTTCTTGCAACTAATAATGTACACTTGTGGCTGAGGGCATAATGTCTCCCAAAGAAAATGTCACACTCGTGAACATGTATGTGTGAGGCGATGCCAGTAGGAAAGAAAGGTTATGACAGCTTCATCTGCTCTACATGTTCAACCATTGATGATGAAAAACACAA